TACAGGGACAGAATTAATAATTAAACATTAATTAAAGTTGAAATAGCACCCTAATGGCCTTACACAATGCTAGGTAACTTGTATTTTTGAACATATTCACTTTTTGTGGAAACGACTTATAATAAAAACATAAGATCATACTTACCGCAGAGGTGTTAGGAAGGAGCTTTTGATATTTTTTTAACTTATAAGATATCGAGTCTTTAATTTCATCTCTTCAATTTTTTTTTGCCATGATTTATCTATTCAATTGATACATCGACAATTTTATGAGATTACATTTTAAATTGTTTTACTAAACTGGATGATACTTGTTTCGTTACTTTGCCCTCACAAGAACACATGGACCAGAAACAAAATAAAGGCAAAATTTGAGAATTATATAAGAACTACTTTTAATTCGTAGTTTATTATTACTCTTTCTGGTCTATAATATAAAAAATTGGTTAGTTTTTCTCACATGCTAAGAATTAGAAGTTTAGTCACTATTCTAGAATGATAAAATTTTCATATTTTGCCCCTAAAATGATAAAATTATTTTTAATGTTATACTTTTATTATATCTCATCTATTTTTCTCTCTCCGATATTTAATGGGAGTGAAAATGAAAAAATCACATAAATTATTTTGACAACATTTTATATTTTACGTCACATACAGTTTTCTTCTAACAAACGTCTTATATTATGAACCAGAAGGTATATATCTTAAAATCTAGAATGAAACAAATAAAAATTCAAATCATGAGTAACAAATGACAATGAAGTATTATCGATGATTTTTTTTTTAACCTAATATAGACCCGTTGATAAGAGTTGATCTAATTTGTAAAGAATTGACTCATGATCTACATGGTCATAAGTTCAAATTCTGTTATCGATATGAAGACTTTATTAACACGTGATTTGTAAGTATCTCTGTAAATATTTTTATAATCTGAAAATGTATTATGACTTGAACGAGTCTTGAGAACCATCTCATCTTAACTTTTTTTTTTTTGGTATAAAAACATTAGTAGAGACCCACTCTGTAAACTGAATGTAGCAGTGTGTGCATACAAGTTTCACATGTTTTATAGGAATTGTGTTTGTTAATTAACATAGTAAAACTAAAAACGTGTTAAGAGGATCCATGGCAGTGTTTTCTTGTTGCCCTATTCGAGATGGATGATATGGACAACATGTGAGGGTGCACATAAAATATCAATGACATCAATCTTATAATATTCAACTTTTCCTGTCTGGACCCCCCACCTCGATTGACACTTGTCGTTCCCCGAACAATCTACTCAGTACCTGTCCTCTTCTTTTATTTATTTATTTTTATTCACGTCAAATTTCTTTTCATCCTCAATTGAGTTTCCTGTCTTATTTATAAAACAGCAAAAAAAAATTGTCTTGATACTATTTATAAGTTATCTTATTAAATTTTTAGTATAAATATATTATTTTATCATTTATTTATCATAATATAGATAATTATTTTTTAAAAATGTATATATTAAATTGGAATAAAAATAAAAATTTATTATATTTTGAAAAATAGTTAATACAGGTTAAGTTGTGAAATACAAATGTTTATAAATAAGATTAGAGAAGGCAACCTGATGATTTGCTCTTCTTTTGATATTCCCCGATTTAATTACTGAGCCTTTAATTCGTTGTCGACGCTCGGACTGGATTTTTTTTTTTTTTAGCCCTCTCGAGTGCAGACACTAATATTAGTAAGCCTTTGCATATAATATAATCCTTCGTTTAAATGTAACTCCAACTTCAATGATCTTAAACTCTTTTGATACAATAGTTTTTCTTTCTTTTTTCTTTTTAATTTTCATGAACGAAGATTATGAGTTGGATCTCAGTTACAACTTCAACCGATCTTAAGAACAAAAGGAGCCTTCTCATTATTTTGAGAAGCAGCTTATGCAAATAATCCGATGTAATGCATGAGAGAAAATATTATATGAAAAAAATACACCGAGATACCAAAAAATTTTAAAAAATAAATAATAAATTATTTTTAGAACATGTATCAATAAGAATTTCATAAAATTTTAAAAATCACTAAGTAATAAATCTCTACAATATCTGACATTGTATAACATAATTGTTCCGATTAAGTCAACACATGCACAAATTAATGTTATACAGAAGAACTGATATGGCCTTCTCAATTAATGCACAATCAATATATATATAATAAATTTATTATAATAAACTCTATTATTTATACATAAGCAATCCTTATTTTTTTTAAAAGCTTTTTATAATGCATGCCAAAACTTGTCCAAGTGGGTTGATGTATATATTGACATTATTCATTTGCAAATGTAACTGTAACGCAGCCTCACCAGGGGAATCTCTATTCAGGACCACACGATTTCAACTACTACTTTCGTAGCATCGAAATTTGGTACTAGATATTATTTAATATTTCGTCCTATTTGTTTATAAGAAATTTTTGAAAGTATCCTCTTAATTTTATGTGCGAGAAACAATAATCCCGTAGCCAAAAAAAAAAAAAGGACAGTGCCTGGTTTTTCAAAATTCCTCTGAGATGCCACTTAGAAATGTTTAGTAAAAACAAAATCATGATTTTAAAAATACTTTTACAATATACAAAGTAAATATGTGGAGGAGTTTGTCTAGATTTACAGAAAAGTGTTTCTGAAAATGATTCTAGACTATCCAAACTTTCTCTCAGGGGTGTTTGACAACTTTCAAATCATGATTTCAGAAGCACTTTTCTGTCAAATGAGACAAATTCCTCCACATATTTACTTCATAAACCATAAAACACTTCTGAAACTATGATTTGATTTCTCATGAAAGAAATTTGGGGTTAGGGTGAAAAGGGTAAGAGTGGCATTGAATAGAAGCATTTGTTTTGGTGTGACAACACGCGCCCACTCAATGCGGTCCATTCAATCGTCTCGTGACTAACCAAGCATCCGAACACATCCCGATTCTCGCTGCTCATTTTCACATTCATATTGATTCTGATCACTTGCTGGTACAAAGACAACGTTGTTAACAAGTGGTTTGTAAGTGTTTTTTTGAATTTGAACACATGCCTTGATTTTAGTAAACTCCAATACTCAGCTCACATAAATTTTTCTCTCTCATAGTTAATGTATGAAGTGGTTTAAAAAAGATAAAATCATGGGATGTAAAAAAGTAGTGAGATCATCTTGAGTCCATATTTCTCTATCCATTTCATTAACTAACATGTAAAGTACACATGTACATAACAAAAGAAATATAAGTGAAAGATACATAGGAAGCATAGAAATGCCTGGGAACATAAAAAGGATCATTTGGTATGAGAGATATAGATGGAAAGATAGAGGGGGGAAAAATTTTAACGAGCTCGATTTGAAAAACTGAAAAAGTAGAGTTAAAAACTTTTGATTAATTTTTAATCACTCTTTTATCTTATATTTCTTCTTTATTAAAATTTTAAAATCTTATTTCTTCAATTTTTTAATCTGAACTTATTAAAAATTTTTCCACCCCATTTTTCTCATACCAACATAGGGACAATGTAGCAACGTCCATGTCAGTGGGAAAAAAGAACAATCCAAATAAGTCCTGCCCATGATGGTGAGCGATGCTTCTGTTGAGTTTTCGTTGTCCTGGGAGAGTGTCATCAATCAGCTTCACACTTAAGCTGAGTCCATTCATCCTCTCAACCTCACTTCCTTCGCTCTTCATACTTTTCATTAATCTTGACTTTTGACCACATTCAAATCGGTCTATTATTTCCACATCCATGAATGCGAAGCAGGGTGTCATAAATGTGGCATGCTTATGTTCTCTTGTGGGTTTTCGAGATAAGACTTGAGAGAAGGACTTGGAGGGGTTGGGGGGGCCCCTTATCCTTCCCCTCCCACACGCATATATGATTCCCATCTTAAGTTTGATATTTTAAGTTAAAAAATGTAGCAGAAACTAATAAGGATTGGGTTTGATAGAAAGGACTACTTTCTTATAATGTGGCGAATTAATTTGACTCTATATTGGGAGAGGAGTCCTCATTTAGCACCTGATAGTGCTCTACACAAAAGTACTTTCAATAGAAGGATACCTGTGCTTAGACTAAATAATGTAGTCAGAATCATGAACCTTTGACTATTTATAATTTGTGAAGTGTATGAAATTGATTGGTTAAAACTTAGAACTACAAGTTAATCCCATAAAAATTCAAGCTCTTGGTAGCGTGTGGTCTTCACCTAAATCTGTGGAAGCCCAGTCGTGGCAGTAAACCTAGCCCGCTGCCCAAATATGTGAATAAGAAGCTTTTTAAAACGGGCAGAGACAAATATCAATTACTAACAAGGGTTGGTGTAGTTGGTAAGGAGTCGGCTCATAACTTACAAGGTCGTGAGTTCGAGTCCGTTACTAATGTGAGGACCTTGTTGGCAGGTGATCTATAAGTACCTCTGTAAACGCTCTTTGAACGTGGAGGCATGTCCTGACCTTGGTGAGTCCTCGGGACCCAACTCACCTAAATTTTCTGTAATTAAAAAAAAAAATCAACTGGGACTTGGGAGCCTGTTTGGAATCACGTTGAAAAGTGCTTATAAGCACATTTTATGTAAGTTAAGACAAAATTTCTCTCACATACTTATTTTGTATTCTGTAAATCACGATTTAAAAGTTTATTTTTAAGTTGTTCCAAAATAAGCACTGGTTCTCTGTTTTCTATTTTTGGGTTATAGTCTGAATACAATGACATCCATGTTTAAGTTGGTGCATCGTATCAAAATCATTGGCGTTTCTCTCTTCCTATCTTGCAATTTTGTGTATATGCCAAGTGCCACCTTTAGGCTTGAGATTTCAGTCTTGCACTCATATGCGAAGCGGATACAGGTAATATATTAACTTGGATAGATTATCTATTAAGGTCCTGTTTGGCATCATGTTTGAAATTATTTACAAACATGTTTCACGTAAATCAAGAGAAAACTCTTACCACATGTTTATTTTACATTCTGTAAATCACGATTAAAAAACCCACTTATAAGTCATTTCAAATGAGTCCTAATTTTGGATATTCATCGGGAATTACATTATCTATACACTTGGACAAAAGAGAAAAAAGCAAAGAATGGTTTCTATTCACTAGCATATAGGAGATAGAACTATATTTTATCGATGTGTTTTCTTGAACACCATATGACCAGAGTCATCCATATCAAACAAACGCTCAACAAAATCATTCCAACTATCATTTCGTTTCTTACAAGACCAGGAGGACACCCTACCACTTGAACTAGCAGAATCCTCCCTCGCATCAACCTCATGAAATGTTCCATATGAGGTAGGTGAGTATGCTTGAGGAATATCCAAAGCAACGGCCCTCTGAAGCGCTGCCTCGTACTCTTGGCTGTGCCTAGCCAGAGACTCATTCTGCTCCATCCTCTGCTTTGCTGGGATCTCCATAGCCCGATCTTTCTCTCGCATTAACTGATGCAGCAACATAATGATTTATGTGCAATTGGACGGTCGTAACTTTGTACGTAGGAGCATGGGTATGTAGACATAGATATATAGATAATTTCATCAACCAACTATTGACAATCCACAAAGATTTTTAAGTTTTGAGTGATGGCAAATGGCCGGAGCCAAGGGAAGGACAAAGAAAAGAATCAGAAACATGAGATGTATTTCAAGAACTATACTGACATACATGTGTGGTTTCAAGACTCCTGACTATGCAATACATGAATAGCATCAGTCAAAATACTACTATCTTCTAATGGATATGCTGCAGAAACTTTTTTTTAAAAAAAAAAAAGGGTAAGCTTTGTGGTTCAGTCTAAGTAAAATTCTAAACTGTTTCTATAAAATTACTCCTCACTAGAATAAATTCTATAGTCATGATAAGCTCATTTCAGTCCAAGGTCTCAAAACATCAAATCAATTGAAAAATGTTACAGCCTAGAGGTAATCAACATATAAATGGCTGTGGCAGGTTGAGATTAGCTTACATCAAGAGCCCTTTGGGCTTCTCTTTCTATCCAAATGATGGCATGGTCTGAAGTTGCATTGCAAGAAAGAACTATATGCTCGAACCTCCCGTCAACAGGCACTGCTGTCCGTACAACAGGTGGAAATCTTCCCGCCCTGCAACCAGAGATGCCACACTCTGAATTATATACAGTTCTAGTGGTTCAAATCACCAAATGCCATTTTACCCTCCGAATTTAGCAACTTGATACATTTGAGTACAAATGCCAGTGCACCAAAGGAAAAAAAAAATCTAATTTTTCAAAACAAATCCAAAACAAGTCACCACTTACCAAGGCAGACCTTCTTGTACTAAAATCTCAATTTATGTTTTACAAATATATTTTTCTATTTAACTGTATATCTAACTGTTAAAGGGAGCTGAGTTCTTGAGAAAATATGATCAAAAATTAGGTATAAGCCATACTGAGCTGATTTCTATACGAGCAAAAATGACACGAAGATCATACAGAATTTAAACCATCGAACATATAAGGGAACAGTCCGTGCAGATACTAGCAAACGTTGGAGCAGGACAATGCAAAATTGATGTATTACACGCTTACTAATCATTAGAAGCATGCACCATCTTGCAAAAGGATCATTGGTTATATAGACCACAAAAGAAAATAAAAGATTAGATTGCATGCAGTAGTATATCGTGCCAGCACAAACCTCGTGCAAACAGTGTTCAGAAAGTCGTCATTTCCATTTTGGGAGGTAGCCACTGGACCCAGATCAAGGGATTCAATCCCTGAAATTTGGAATCAAGGACAAATAGTTTCTTTTCCATTTTGCACTCCTAGAGCTGCATCCCTTTATTGTCATTTAATGTACTCATTCTGCCATGATCTCTTTATAGTTGCACTTCATTTTTGTGCACAATACGTGAAATATTCAACTCTCTCCAATACATTTCCTTCCTCTTTTTTATAAATAGAGTGCCTACTAAATGCCTTTCAGCAAATTGAAGAGGTAGAATCTCATCCCCTTGAGAGACAAATGATACCTCTGTTTCGCACAGAATGATTTGCCCATGCAGTTTTGGGCCCAGTGGAGGGTGGGAAGGGGGTAGGGATTTCAACGGAGGGAAGGTGAGGGAAATGGAGGGGAATGGGGAATTTTAATAATTCCTCCAAACCCAATTTGGAGGAGAGGGGAACCCTAAGGACAGACACACTATTATGATGATCTGTAACTCTGACCAAGAATATTCAACACAATGCCCTACAATATAAGTAATGTTCAATATGACAGCACAGAGAAAACTTCTTTACCTGAAGGGCTTTCGCTCAACAATATGATAAAGACGACCAGGTGCATATAGCCGCCTCGGATCCCTGAGCATCTTTTCCTCCATTGTGCAAGTATCTTTCAAGCACATCAGGCACAACAGACAGGGCAAACTGCCAGTACAGCATGACCAGCTTAGAAGCTTATCTTAGGGGCAAAAATCTGAACCATAACACCACAAATGGTGATCTACTCAAATGAATATGCACGAAAATTCTTTTTTTGTGGTTAAATATTAAATCAGGCTTCGCTCAACAAGCCCCAAAACCTCATAATGAACACAAGACATGGAATATTTTGAAAGTACAGACTATGGACAGATTAAGTCAGAGTCAAATCCTTTAGCCAGATTAAGAGATAGATTATGGCAATGGGAAAGTTACCAAAAGAGTGACTTGAAAACATCTGCTAAAGCAGTGGTTGTCCGTGGTAAAAAATCATCCTGGTTTGACAGAGAGAATCATATTAGAAGAGAAGCGTATCAAATTGATAACAGACAGATAAGAGAGATGAAAAATTCATAACGACTTCAATTTTTGGATCCATGCTACATATGAATTATCCTCATAACTGGGATATTCATCCCCAGAAGTACAATACATTAACCATATTATTTGAGAACTTGAAACATTCAGAATAACCAACCATTTACCAAATCAGGGCATTTTCTTGATGCATGTAGAATATCTCTAACCTTCCACTTGTGAAAATTTTAACAGTTTTGTTCACTTGGTCATTTGCAATCAGCATATCACAATCGCATTGACAACTAGATTCATCTGAAGGAAAAATCATCGTGTGTATGTGTGTGTATAAATTTTTTAATATATTAATTTAACATTTAGCAATGACGGATGACAAGTAACATGCTGCTTATACAAACAAAGATGTAATATAGAATCCGCCTAATCTCATTACCAGCAATCTTGGTAGTATTATTGTCACAACTTACAGTATTACATACGTACATGTGTCTCAGAGGACCACTTTCACTGAAACCAATATCAATACCAAGTTACCAGTTTTATGTATTTGCACTGTGTAGTAAAAAGTAAAAACTAAAATGGAAAGGTTTCCATGTTTACGAACTAGTACGACGATAGATTAATTAAATGTATATCTTGATACTCTCTATAGATTCAGTCTGGTCTGTTTAAATGGAGTCATGATGGCTTAGAGATCCGTCAATAAAGATGGTAGAGTATGAAATTAATGATGCAAGGAGATCAATTAACCTGGAGTACGACAGAATAGATAACATCTGCGTATCTTACAGCCAAATTGAGAGACACACACCGAGCAGGAGCTATAGCATAGCATTTTATCCTGTTTCTTTCTATGTCCAGTTTGTCTTGGTTATGAAGTGCCATCAATGTCAACAATGCCACCACCCCGGCCCCTAGGGAATGCCCACTAAATATCAGCGTGTATGTAGGATTTTCTGCAGCCAGATTCCTGAGAACCTCGAACTCTGCATCAAAGATCCACTCCGCGGCTCTCAATAATCCGTTGTGGACATAACCACCGTGAAATCCTGTTTGCCCCAGTTTGTTGTCAAGCAAGACTGCGTAATCACTTTCCACTGCTAAATTGAGTCCCCTAACAGCCAGGATAATTTCAGCATGATCATGATCAAGGTATATCATATAGGGAGTAACACGACCTTGGTTATCCCCATAGTCTTTACGTAAGATTACCCAGTCAGGATTGATGCCATAACCCCCAGGGGGAGCCCACACAGGGTTACGAATATCATCTTCATAGACAGCTAAGATGAGACGACAAATTCGGGGCACGGGTTCAAATTCCTCCGCACAAGCTAGACCCCAGTTTTCACTCTCATAGCCAGCGGTATAGAGACATTTCTGCCAAGCCCAGCGAGCACATCCCAGACAATAAACACACTCAAGTATAGGAAGCCCACAGATAATTGACATCAATGCCTACGATGCTAGCATTCTGAGAGATGGTACAACCGGTAGAGCCAAACAGAAGATATGTAAACAATAATAGAAACCGGTGCGTTTCAAGAATTAAGTCTATACCAATAGAACTGGATCAGGAACTAATCAATAGAAAAGCTACAGGATTTTTTTCTTATGGAAAGTGAAGGGTGCGGATTTCAGGATATGAAGGCAGATGACAGGCAGCAACTATGTCAATTATAGGGAAGAAAATTAAGTGAAGAATGGCTCCATATATGAACAATAAGGACTGATATACGAAACTTAAGGTGTCAATATGAAAATATATGTACTCAAATGCAAGCGTTGAGGTGAAGTAAAGCACCTAAACATATGACAAGATTCCCATCCTGTGAGAACTTGAATATGAAATAAAATAAAATTCCGCAACAAACGAGCGACCAGCAAATGAAAATGCCAAGAACAAGGGCAGACAATTCTGGAGAAATATAAGGAGCGAAGAATTCGATAAATTCGTTTACTCTTGGGGACTATGAGCAAGGATCATCGCTAGCAAAAGCCTAAAGATATGCAGCTATTGAATTATACTTGTTGAGTAGGAAAATGATAATGCTCTGAGCGCAATAGAAAAATTGATAGCTTTGGGTTCTAAGTTCTTGACTTCTTCGAGGAATTACATCGAGAAACTGGAACAGGAAGACGTAATAAACGATCAATTAGAAGAAGAAGAGAAGGATAATAAGACAAAGTCGAGACGGACCTGCACCTACAAGTCAAAGTAAGCTTCTGGAATCAATTCGTTGGAATAATTTGATTCCCTAAACATTGTGCTGATACGGGGGTGGGGATATTTCGTTCCAAGCAGCAAAATTTTCACTTGCCCAGCGAATTACGTTTTGTCATCATAATTTCGTCCTCCAGCCTGAAAATAAGTATTTAATTTATGAAGATCGTCGCCATGATTTTTTAAATACTTATTTATCCATCAATGAATCTCTTCATTTGGCTGAACAATTCTCATTTAAAAGCCAAGACAATATATAAATTGCACAGACATTAGTTCATGTCGCTTCTTGTTATCGGAAATTTGAATTTATCTTAATGTCTTAATTCCTAAAAGCAAAGTTTCACTAAGGGAAACAACAAGAGCATTTAAAGGTTGACTGGTCGGAGGGAAGTAAAGGAAAAAAATTAAATTTTTTTTTTATAAGGAAAGAAGGAAAGTTTAATTTTTTTTGACTCATTTTTTAAGAGTCCATGTGAGACATTGTCTGATTAAAAATTACATGAAGCGATTTAAGGTAAAAATTCTGACTAGACTGGCCTAATGGTACTTGATTTTCAATTTTAGTTGCCTGATACTTTTGGCGGCCGACTGAACATCATCATCTCTACTCGTTAATTGCCCATCAGGCTGTTCTCAATTTCTCCCGTTTCGTGTGATATCCATCATAGTGCTTATAAATTAGCTTACATATCTCTTCTCTCCCCTAGTAATTTCATTGTTCAATTACTTATAATTATATATATATATATATTTCAAACAGAGGAAGCAGAAGCAAGATCATGAATAAGTGAGAAGAGATGTTTTGCACATCTCATGGGCGTTTTGCTAGAGATTGACAACGTTCACATACCTTAATATGGCAGCCTCCTCATCCATAAGAAATAGAAAATAAGTTTGAATTCGGAAAAGTAGATGCCTTTGCAGTTTGCAATCTTAGAGTGCCATGGCTTGTTTGCAACTTGCAAGGATAGGGAGCTCTATTACAACAAGACAAGCAGTTCAATCAATTCCTCGTTTCTTTTTTGCTTTTGCCTGCTGGTCTGGTAACTTGAAGATTTATTAGAGACAGTAATTTCACATGGCATTTTCTGGTAGAGAAATTTTAGTCACACCTCATGATACATTTAAACCAACTAGTGATTCGTCAAGAGAGGATCAAACTCTCTCTCAGGTACTTACACTACATATCTCGTCTCATTTTATTGTGTAATTACTTGTCATCTGTGTTTGAGAACTTAATTACTACCACGTTGAACAGGGGATGAAGAAGCAAGAGCAAAAGCAAAGAGAATTCTTAGAAATGTTATGGAGATTTCGTTGTGGCTTGGCATTTTGGTGTGTTGGGGCTTTTGCCTAATCTTAGCATCATTCCCATTAGCTTATCCTTTTTTTTTTTTTTGGAGATACAAAGGCAAGTAGGACTTGAAGCAAGACACTATTCTCAGGTGTATCTTTCAATCTCGTGGATGCGTATATGAACGTCTGATTCGACAGACAATGACAAACCAACCAACCAACCAACCATCATCGAGGCGGGATCCAGTGTGGGCCATGGCGCCGTAATGTTTTACAACCACAGACCATCGTTTTCCACGTGTTTTCTCCGACCATCCCGCAACGTCGGCTCTCGTGGCCCGTGTCGTTATTCTCGCCAAACCAATAATCTCGGCTGGCTCGATATATGCTCGGCCATAGGCTTCAAGCCTGCGCTGCTTCGCAGGGGATCAAGAGCGGCTGCCTCAATAATTTGCGGAGTCAGGTTCTAATCACTCCACTTCTGGAAGGAAATCTGAGTTACCTCTGTCATGGACAAGGAAGAAGGTGAGTCTGACACTAATCCCTCCATTTGTTTTGCGAAGAAAATCTCGGAAACAGCTGTTGGGCTCAGTGATTCTGAAAATATTTCGTTTTTAGTGATGGTATTCGTAATTGAGCGATTCCTTAGCAAAGTGAAGTAATTGATGAAAAGCCGAGGTTACTGAATCAGGTTGATGATGATTTTGAATTGCTACATGGATTTTGAGTGTGTTTCTCTTCGTTTGATTTGCAGTGTTTGAATTCCTTGGATGCGTTCCTCTATTACAGAAGCTTCCTAGCTCGTCCCTGAGGAAGATATCTCAGCTTGTAGTCGTCAAACGCTATGGTGAAGTTTAAATTTGGAAATTTGCCTCTTTTTTTTTTTTGTATTTGAATTTGAAAATTTGACCACTATGAATTGAATAAGCTAGCCAGTGAAGTTACTGGAAAAAAAATTTGAGTATTCATGCTTCCAACAACAAAGTAGATTGATTACATCTTATCGGCATCTTGTAAGACCAATTTGTTTAGGGAAGAAAATGATAACACTTGTGATCCATGTAGCCAATCCCAGTAAGGCTTTCTTGTTGTTATTACATGGCTTAATGTTTTGTTCTGGTTTGCTGTATAATTGTGTAGAGCCGGGAGAGTATGTTGCTCGCGAGGGTGAATGTGGGGATGGAATCTACTTCATATGGGAAGGAGAGGTATTTTTATTTTTACGTCAACTTTCACAATGTGGCAGTTTTATGCTCTAACATCCAGTATCCGTCATATAGGCTGAGGTTGTTGGATCTGTTACTGCAAACGATGAGAATCGTCCAGAGTTCCAACTCCAAAGATATGACTATTTTGGTTATGGTAGTATTCTTCATTCCTATGCTTCAAAACTGCAATTCATTGCTTGTAATTAATTTCATTTCTACCATAAGGCATAGGCTTATCAGATAGTTTGTGTCATCATGGACACATGAAAAGATATTCCTAATTCCATGACCATCTTCCTTGCACTGAAAAAAAATATCATTCAGTTCAAACTTTTTAATCATCCAACTGAGGTTTTGTCAAAGAATTCTAGGACATGTTTACCAATTTTTTCCTATGACTAAGTATAGGTTTGCCTTCCACTTATTACACTTTTTAACTAAATCTTTCTTTCCCCACACCAAGTCTATATCCCATTGCCTAATCTCTGGCTCATTACCTTGAGCGTTATCGTCTATTTTTCTGTGCGGAGTTTCCTTGCTTCTATAAAGATATCAGAGATATTGCTTCGGTTGTTTTAAGAATTATAGCCAAAGGAGAATAATGTGTTGCAAATTGTAGGTTTGTCGAAGGCAGTTCACCATGCAGATGTCATTGCTTCGTCTAAGGTGCTGTAGTTATTTCTTACTTCACTGCTTTCAAAACCTTACCTTCAGTGCACAGGCATCTGAAGTACAACTTAACATGAATGATGTTGACTCCTGGAGTGACTTTCTGGTTTTTCCTTTGGCAGCTAACGTGTTTAGTACTGCCACATGAACACTCAGCTCTGCTGCAGCCAAAATCTATCTGGAGTGCCGAGAAGTCTCTAGATATTTGCTCACCTGTGGAACAAATATTGCATTTAGAGCCCATAGAGGTGGTTTTAGTGTTTTTTTTTATGTGTTCTTGATTTCTTCTTGTTTAACAGTTAATGAAGCTTTTACCATCTGGTTATTGTGTTAGCAAATAATATTGGTCTATTGGATGTTTCTGCATGAGAGGCGGTGTCTATTCACCTTCATAAATACCTCTCATTATAATTAATATTTACCATGCTAGCAAATGATATTTAACATCTCATTATAATTATATATTATATAATTATAAATACCTCTATTCACCTTCATAGGTCATGACACAACATTCATATGACTTGCAGATAATATTCATATATTATGCTAGAGAGAAATTGAATTTGTAATTATTTCCTTCCCAAGCGATTTTTTTTTTTTTTTGGGTGGGGGGAGGGGTTACCCGAATAAAAAGCTAAAGACTCTGCAGTTTTTCCCTGAGCAAATATCTTTTCATGACGATATACAGGTATTCTTTGACGGGTTAAAAAGACCTAGCCTCTTGTGGTTGAGCTGGTGGTAGATTCAAAAACTCTGTTCACAGCAGCTCTGCCACAAAAATTTACTTTAGTTGCAGGACTGTCTCTTTTACTATGATAACAAGGAATATTGACATTTTGTGTTTATCTTTCATGGTAACATGCTCTTTCCTTGAAAATTCAGCCTATTTTTTTCCTCTGTTGAAGGTAGATCTTTTCCAAGGAATCACTCCGCCTGATGCTCCCAAATTTGGGAAAGTGTTTGGGGGACAGATGGTTGGGCAGGTACAGTAAAACCGCTTTATCCTCATGTTACTGGATGCTAATGATGTCGCCTGTGCTTCTAGACACAAAATATTTACAAGATAGAGCATAACATGCAGGCACTGGCAGCAGCATCGAAATCTGTTGATTTTCTTAAGATTGTCCATAGTCTGCATGCCTATTTTCTTCTTGTGGGGGATTTTAACAGTAAGTTTGTTTGAATTTTTCAACTTTGATGAGAATGCTCTAGTATAATTTCTTTCCTTTCTTTTTTTATGTAATTTTACTCCTTTTTCCCAAAATGGTCTGGATTTTGTTTCCTCCTTTAACCCATTAACTTGCTTTTACTCAAGTTTTCTTCTTCTTCTTCTTCTTCTTCTTCTTTTAATATGATTTACTGTTGCCAATGATCTGGATCCTTATTTTGTTTACTTTGTTATTTGTGATTAAAGAACTATCCTTTTTTTTTTTTTTTCTCCCCATAACTTCTGATATTTCATGATCAAATCTGCTAGACCAATCTGCGTAATTGTTTTGGCAGGATATCTTCGACTGTTTTTTGTTTGATTAAACGGTTTGCTCTGATATTAAGCTGCATAATACAAATAATTAGACAATCCAAAAAAAAACCAAATCGTGGGAAGCTGTGGATAAAATAGGCAATTGATTATTCACTCATTGTCCACCCCTCCATCTAAATAAAAGTGTAATAGTTGATTACTAAAATTAATGGGATCTACTGACCTAGGCTTTAATATTCTCTAAATAATCAATTTTTTAGACAGGTGTCGAGTTCCTAGATTCTTTTAAATTTAATCCTAGAGTTGGTCCTTTAAGGTAACAGAGTAACAATTCATTTTTTAGTGAACCGTGTAGCATTATGACCTTATGGAATTTGATTATTCATTCCATTGTTTTTATACATAGTGTCTTGTGTGTACTGTTAATTTATCTGTTTGGTTTAGCTCATGAAATTTAAAGCTTATACTCAGTCTATGTTTTCCTTTTGCAGTGCCAATTATATATCGAGTTTATCGTCTACGTGATGGCAAGAGTTTTGCGACTCGAAGAGTGGATGCTATTCAAAAGGGAAATGTTATATTCTCTTTGCTGGCTTCGTTTCAGGTAATCGTCTTTCTTAATGACTTGAAATAATATGATCATTTGTTGTGAATCAATTGTATCCTTTTTCTTTTCAAAAATAAAAAACCTGTTATAGATGGTATTTTTTTATTTTTTTTTTGGTTAATGTTATTATTATTCAGGTTGCCAATTTTAGGAGTAAACAGTGATATTCTAAATTAATATTTTAGATTTGTATTGCCTTGGAGTAAAGGAGGGTCAGTCATTTAGAATAGTGATGCAATGTATCAATACTATACTGATTACATAATGCTAAGCTGTAATTTGATGGAAAAACCCTGGGTCGTCAAACAGCACTCCCTTAGCTCTATTGTAATATGAAAGGCATCTTTGTAGGTATAATTAGATTAGATTATGGCTTTTTGTTCATGCGCTAGTTCTATAACTCCTGCTATGTTTCAGAGCACATATAACTCTATCCTTGCTTTAATTCTGCAGAAAGAGGAAACAGGGTTCGATCATCAGGAAGTGACTATGCCATCAGTCCCTCACCCTGATATGGCAAGTAACAGTCTAACTTCAGAATTTTTTTCCCCTAATTCCTATTGTGAGTTCAAATGTATAATCTGGTATCTGTTGTAGCTTCTGTCAATGGAAGAGCTCCGGGAGAGACGTCTTACTGATCCTCGTCTCCCAAGGTATGGTTGAATTTTTTCACTTGCTTTTTTGCCTTTCTTTAATTCAAATCAAAATGCATATCTGAACAATGCGAAAGCTATGGATGAATCAAATATTCTATCAGAATTTGGGTTACCAGACAGGGGGACGCTCGTATTTTTCCCATTTGCCCCACGCTGCTTGCTCTCAACCAGGTCTGAACCTGGGACCCCCAAGTGGGAATGCCTAGAACTTAAACTACTGGAGTGTTCCCCTGCGATGTAACAAAAGAAGTTTTGGCGTAAGCAGAGTTAAATCCATAAATCGCTCGTATGAGACATGGGATTTTTTTCCTACCACTCTTTAGACTTGTTAACCACCCTCGTGCTGTGCCTGAGCTTTAAAGTGTGAAAATGATTGACTTACAACGACAAATGGTAGTGAAGCTGAATGAGTATACTCTTGAATTCTAATTCAATCACATAAAGTAATGTTAATGCATTTAATTTTCAGTACTTGATTTCTAAACCACCACTTGACCTCACAATATTTAACTATGTCAAACATGTATAGAAGTAAATTTGAGACCAAATATCCCCATATTTAAACTAGCTTAATCTTTAGATGGATCAATGTATTAGCTTCGCTGTTGTTCACTTTTAAATTCTGATGCTGGAACGACCATTTCAAATATCATTCCTGCCGAAGTTTATATGCTTGATTATTCTAGAGCAGATTCCCATGATTTATTTATGTATTCAACCGATGTCTAATCATCTTTTGAAATTTTCTGAGAGATGTTCAAAACTTAAAAATACAAGGTAGAAGATAATTTTGTTCAGTTCTGTGAACTGAAGTCCACCAGGACTAAGGATCTTTTGCCATGAGGATTAATTAAGTGCTATCAAAGCTAAAGAAAATTCATTTTCTAGTTTGTTAAAATATGTTGAACGAACAACAGTGCTGCTTTTGGTGTTGACGATGTGATTACAAAATCCTTTCTATAAATGAAATTTTCTGAATGATGTAAAATGAAATGCCAGGTGTTTATAATGGGATCGCTGTCTGTACTGCTTTCGAGGTTATCTTGCTTCAATATTATTGATAACGATGCACGTTTGAAGACCTTTCTTCCTTTTCGCTAGCAATTTTCAGTTCTTAATGGCGGTATGAAGACCCTCAAACAAAATCACGTTTTCTGCCCTGTTGTTTCAGAACTTACCGGAACAAGGTGGCTACTTCTGAATTCATCCCTTGGCCCATAGAAATACGGTTTTGTGAACCTAACAATTTAACAAGCCAGACCAAATCTCCTCCTAGGTAAGCTTGGTTCTTTCTAAGAAATGTTTAACTAATTATTGCAGTCTGTTAATTTAAATAAGGGATTCCATGCTTCTTTTCATGCCGGAAATTATCTGAACCATATTTAAATTTTGTTTGCAGATTGCGATATTGGTTTAGGGCAAAGGGAAAACTCTCAGATGATCAGGCTTTGCATCGGTATTCATTTTCTGTTTATTGTTACATATTTCTTGCACAGTAGTTTGGCAGAATCAGTAGTTTTTGATATTGCACTATTGAACTACCTGAAGATTACGTTTTTCCGTTTGGGAGAGAAGTAAAGTACTTGTTTGAGATGAAAAGCATTGGAGACCTTCTCAATGTCTTTGTTATTCCCATCTAAGTTTAAATGTTCTTTAGTCTTTAAATTAAAACCTCTATCTTGTCTTTCGAAGACTTTTCTTTTGAGGAGGGATCAATTAGATTTGAGAGCATGGTTATTAATAATGCGTTATAGCTTTTAACTCAATGCTATGGTGCCAAGTCACGTGTAGCCTTGCAACTTTCATTTAACTCCACTGTATCCATATTACGGGTTCTATTTTTGTGTGGTCGTTGCTTGCTTTCCAGCCCTACGTATGAATGGGGCAATGACGATGGAATTTTTAATTGATTTCGTCAATGATCAGTGCTAAAGGTTCTCTTGACCCGTTGTTGGACAATTGATGTCTTGTGAAAAATCATGTCAAGAGCACTTGAAGGAAATGACATCCTCCTCTTGGATGCTTCTGATAAGGTTGGCGAACAAATGAAAACCTCAAAAAACGAAGAGGAGATTGAATTATTGCTCAATGACGATCATTAAGATGATGTATTTCAGGGAAGGAATGGGACCAGATATCTTCGGATAAACAGAGTCAACCTTTGTTACACATTGGCGTATTTGATGGTTAAAATAATTAATGTTGCCATTAATGGATGATTATTTTGTTCTCACGAGGGTTTCAAAGTTTGGTTTTGTATGTTAGTCGTTACCAAATATATTTTGAGTTTCTTGTATTTATGCTATGACTTCAAGCAATTTGTGCAATGCTATGCGCTATGCATATGCACTTTATAGCATTTGGAGACCTTGTAGCGCTACATGCTTTTAGTAACCACGCTTGGGAGATTGAACCTTGATATCTGTGATTGTTAATGAATGGCAATGTGATGGCTATTTAATATGCTTAGATGCTCCATAAGTAATGTTTCGAGATATTTCTGAAAAGGCCACTGGTTTGTTGTCCTCAACTTCTGTATTTGTTTGTTGTATGGCAGGTGTGTGGTGGCATATGCTTCAGATCTGATATTTCTTCAAGTAAGCTTGAATCCCCACAGGCGGAAGGATCTGAAGACTCGTTCTGTGAGTCTGGACCATGCGTAAGTATCTGATTCCTATTAGGTGCATGATCGGCATTTTATTAAGTTTTTGGTACATATTTTCTGTCGTGCCTTTTGCTAATCCTTTTCATCCATTTCAGAATGTGGTTCCACCGCCATCTGAGAGCTGATGACTGGGTGCTTTTTGTGGTGAGTTTCAACAAGTGTTTCATTCTCCTTTTACATTCTATTTTCTGTTGCATTTCTGACGCATCCAATCCGTTCTACAGATCCAAAGTCCTACTGCCTCTAATGCACGTGGCTCTGTATCTGGCCACATGTTCAATCAGAAGGGAGAGGTAAAATACCTTACTAAATGCTTTTATAGATGTGCCTTTGCTCCTTTACATTTAACTCAATTGTCTTTTGTAATTTTATTTACATTCACCTTCCAAAGCTTTTGTAGTCTGCAATCAAATACCCTTCAGCTTTAATTCTATGCTTGAAACTCCTCTCAAGTTTTATAACATCTACACTCACTCCATCGCTAGTTTTTTCTCTTTTTTCTTTTTGGGAAAATTACTACTACTCCTTTTTTTTTTTTTTCATGGGCATTAGTTTAAGCTTCTGATGAGTTCTACTTCATTGAATTAATTACGAGTTCTTAGGAGGAAAAGCGCATAGGAATAGGATATTAAGATTTTGTTGCCAATTTCATTCATGTAATGGAGGTTTTCTTATAAACAAATAAAACCTTGAGAAGGTCTCTGAGTGTATGCTTCAATCAGTGAAGGTTAACGCTAATTCCCTCTGAAAATTATCACTTGAAGATCCCTCAGCCTTGCTGGACTAGCTTTGTCTGACAATGTTGCCATTGGTTGATTTGTGTGCAGCTTCTTGTGTCATTGGTTCAAGAAGGTCTAATGAGGAATACTAATTTGGGAACGTCAACAACAAAATCCAAGTTGTGACCTGTGATCTGCTGGAAACCAACAAGAGCTATATGATACTACTTCGGATCCCTAATATAAAATCTAGGTTGTGGTTCAAATAACAAACTAAATCCTATATTAAGAATTGAAAGAAATATTTTTTTTTGTTCCTTAGTTTTTTCAGGGTAAAGATATTGCTTATGTCTTTCAAGCAGAATCTGTGAAAGTTTTGATTAGAAATTAGAGGGTAAATTGTATTGGAACCAGAACAAGGCGTTGTTAGCCTGGAAAATGTCCAACCATGCAGGTCATACAACTTCCAATTCCAGGTTATCACCTGATTTGTTTTCTTTTTTCTTAAAACCGGGGCCCATATCTATTAATCTTGATGTATTGAACAATATAGGAGGTGTTTAGCTGAAACTCAAACCATAGTTTTAAAAGTAATTTTACAATATATAAAGTAAATATGTAGAGGAGTTTATCTCAATTTATGGAAAAATACTTTTTAAAAGTACTACCTCTGGTCTTAATTATAAGAGCCAGTTGATTAATTTGAGGAGATTAAGGAAGTAAGTTGAGTTAGTTATTTGTCCTAAATAGGTGTTGTCTTTCCTAAAATATTCTTACTAATCAAGTGTGTTGACTAAAACTATTATTGTTAGAAGGGTTATTTTGAAAAAAAAATGTATAAATATGAGAGACAAAATGGATTGAGATATTATATTTAGAACCAAAATAAAAGTCAAACAGGTTCTTATATTAAGGACCGAAGGTAGTATTTTTTTCAAATGTCAAACACTCATAATTTAATACGAAATAAATATGTGGAGGAGTTTGTCTCAATTTATGAAAAAATATTTTTTAAAAGTATTTTTTTTCAAATGCCAAACACTCCTATAATCTAACAAAAAAAGTTTCAAATTATGTTTTGTGTGAATATTAATTTTTTTTAAAAAAAATTATTGTTTGTAACAATATAAGGATATTGTATGGGAAGTCACAATCCTCGTAGATTACGAACAGTGTGATTTAAGGTGTTGGGTAAGATCAAAATCATAATTTCAGAAATAAATATGTAAAGAAATTTGTCTCGATTTATAAAAAAATATTTCTGAAAAGTGCTTATTAGTTTTCCAAACACCCCTCCTTTAGCCCTATGAAAATTAAATAGGGTTCATTGTTCAAACATAAAATTAATAACACTTTATACTATTTACCAGCAATAAATAGTACAAATTATTATTCCAATTTTCGGTCAAAAAAATTATACCAATTTTGTGCAGCGTTGGAATTCTTTTATGAACTATATTCATTATGATAATAGTATATATTATGAAACAAAATTTACAATGTTTGAATTCTCTTATATATATTCATCATATAATTTTACATTCTATTCCACGACTATGAGGGAATCCTTCGTCCAAAATGTATTGTCATACTATCTCTGATTCTTAATATAAGATTTTATTTGATTTTTATTTTAGTTCTAAATATAAGACCCCAATCTATTTTATCTCTTATATTTATATATATATATATTTTCAAAATAGCCATTTTAACAATGGTAGTTTTAACCAATATACTTGATTAGTAAGAATATTTTAGAAAAGATAACATCTATTTAAAATAAATAACTAATTCAATTTATTTTCTTAATCTATTCAAGTTAGCTAAATAGTTAGTTAGGTAGTATTTAATTACTCCGTTTAGCAAGTAACGCTTAAATTTTAATGATGGGGTCATCGGGATCAATGGATTTTGAATTCTCAGATGCGACCACTTATTTTAAAATTTCAAACCTTTTCCCAGTTTCCGCGAGCGAGGAGAACCCTCCATTCCAAAACCACGATTCAAAATCGGAAGAAATTGGAAACAGGAAACACGCGCGCGCGCCCGAGCGTATGTATGTATATCATATTCTCTCATATTCATCATCACATTGATCAATCTCTCAGTCACTCTCACTGCATTCCACTGGCTCCATTTACCCCCATTGCTATGCAGCTGCTTCCGAAAAAGCAGGACATTTCCCATAAAGATGCTCCAAGCTCCGAAGGTGGACCCGGAGATGAGGATTCTTGCCCCGATGAGTTGGAGAAGTTGGAGGCCGATGTGAAACAAATGGCGCAAGAGATTATGGAACGCCGATCTACTCTTCCGGAGCAGTTTAAGAGCACACTCGCGTCGGTTCTTGCCGCGCAGAGACCCCTTGTTCCGGAATTTTCAGATATAGGACAACCCGAAGCTCCCAACTCAGGTGCGTTTCTAGTTTCTGCTTCGTTTCTTTGTTCATTTGGATCTTACTGGAATTTCAGTTGCCTGTTTGCAAGTTATTGGATTTAGGGTTTTGGATTTTTAGTTTTGGAACTTCCGGGTTGATTATGCTTGATTATACTGGAATATTTGAGTTGGTGGATTTTTTGGTTTGGATTTATTCTTTCTTCTGGTTGATGAGATATGAAATTGTTGAAAAATCGAATTTATGGTAGTCCCAAATAAAAACAAAAATGTATATCGTAGTTTGTTCGTGAGAATCGCTTTGTCGGGTCTAAGAATGACATGAAATAGCGAGGATTGAGACTCAATGAACTTTACCTCTTCGCTGCAGTTAGCTCCAGAAACCTAAGAGCCCTGAGTGCCCAAATTATCTTAATCCTTTTTTATCAGATTGTAATATTTGGCAGGGGAAGCTGGCATTCTCACCCTATTGTATGGTACATGGGATGAACATGATTTTCAGAGTTCGTGTTTAGTAGTGGATGTTTGGCGATAACTACCTGCCTCAGTGGCTTTGTTGTTAAATTATCACGCTGGTGGAGAAGACACCTTTTAGATAACTGTTGGACTATTACCAGCAATTATTATCTTGCAATTTGGTGTTTGATACGTATTAATTGGCCTCTTTGGTATGCAAGGGAAAATAGAATTAATTTCCAATGCAGAAAGATAAAATAAAATATGCAATGTTCATTATGCCTTTGTTATCATTATTCTACCGTGTCTTTTTTTTTTCCAGAAAAAAAATGCCAGAGATACAAGCATTTCCCCCCCATATATTTTCATCTCTTTTTCTTTTTAATACCTAACATTCTGTGCACCAAGTGGCTTGAGCTTCGATATTAGATCACTCATTGTGCTAAGGAAAATAGTGACTTTCTTTGTATCCACACGAATTGGATCCTATTCACGGCAGATATTAGGCACTAGCCTTAAATGCACATTCGTGTGTATGCATTTCATTCTACACAAGGCATGTTGATTTGGTCTGCGTTGTGCAGTTGCATCAGAACAAGACATTTTGTTCAGGCAGAAACTATCTGACGTGGGGGACCCAGAAACTGCCAAGAAAGTGCAGTTGCTGAAAGAAAAGATATCAAGTAATGCCTGTATCATGCCAGTTGTTTTGAAGAGGATGAAAGACTGTATGGCGAGAATAGAGAAGTTAGATTCATGCAATGTAATCATACATCCAGCATTTAAAGGGAAAAAGAACTAAAGGAGCCTGTTGTATCATACTTAAGTTACTTGTATAAATATTAACATGAAGATTTGTATTCCCACATTGTTCAGATTTGAAGACAATGGGATGGGCTGAAGATATGCCTTTACTTAATTCCTTAAGATAACTCCCGCACCTCTTTCTACCTACAGAGTTCCATACCAAAGGTGAGATAACGCTGTCTTGAAGGTTTTAAGTTCGATTCACAATAAAGTCATTAACCCAAACACTTGCTTGTAGGGGAAAATGGGGATACAAAAAATGTCAGGTAAAAGATTAACGTTTCTAGATTGAATACCATATCTTGCGTTTCATCTTTTTTTATACAGTGATGTGCCCCTTTTGATGTAATTCTAGAGGAATATAATTATTTCACCTTTCTTTAAAAAAAAAAAAAAAAAAGCGGTACGTAAATGTTTTTGTTGTTAAAGGCCACGTGATGAAAATATAAATTCTTACCACCTTTCCCGGAGAACTAGAGTTACTGAAGATTAACGCGTATTTGCTCTCTGGTTTTGCTCTTTGAGAGCAATATTATGAGGTCAAGAAAAAGCCTGGCAGATCGCAAGGCTAAATGAATTACGTAGAAAATGATCATGGGAGAACCTGTATAATACAAACATGTAATCAAATGGGCATAGTAGTCATACCGATGTGACATGGCAATGACGTAGAGACAATGCAGGTCACAACATAGCAAGATACAAAAGGACATTGTGCAACATTAACACGTTTTTTTTAACGAAATAATACACATTACAAAGAACTTATTGTTTAGATTGCCAAGCATTTACAACTAATTACATCATCATCAGAAGAGATCAGCTTGGGTATGGAAGAACCGACCATCACTCTTCCCATATTCCCTACATCACGAACATCAACGACGACCGTGCTCAGCCCCTTGCCAATGACAAAAATGCTCTTGCCAACAGCAACTAGTTTACAAGGTGGCCTCGTAAGCATCGGTGACAGCTTCTCGACTGGCATCCACTGACGCCTCTCCTTGTGCCACATCGTTAGCCTAGTTCCTGAACTCTGATCCAAGACATAAAGTACCCCGTCAACAACTACTGCTGGACCTCGCCAACCTGAAACCATATCAGCATCCGCATGCTGCCATGTGCCATTTGATGGGTCATATACAACAGCCGATGTACCACATCGTATGTATATTTTACCATCCATAACTACTGAATCTTCAATTTCAGGGACAATGTTAGGGTCCTTATGAGATTTCCAACTGTCTATACAAGGGTCATAAGTATCCCAGGAATGAGGATCACTTGAGTTTGAACCTAAACCACCAATAGCGTAGATTTTTTCATCCAAAACTTCACAAGCGAAGTAGCACCTGTAAAGGTTTAAAAATAATGGTATTTTCTACATTTCAGTAGGGGTGAAGATAATAAAGATGAAGACAAGCAAAACAGCTTGTAGGTGCGGACACAGCTTGTAGGTGCGGACAGTCAGTGAGCAATGAACAAGATAGTAGATCTCCCATGTATGGAAAGTAGTTGTTGATTAGCTGGTTAAACACAACGAAAATTACTCTGCCCTCCAGGTTTCACAAAAGGACATGCAGAAAAAAGAGTTATACATAATTTTTTTGAAAAAATACATCCAACACTAAGTAAGTATTACTTTGGTAAAAGAGGGAACATCTCAACAATGCTAGACAGATCAGATCAGTCAAATATAAATAAGTAGACAGTGACAATGATTCCCTAAAGTTGCTAAGCAAGATTATACATGCATCAGTTTGTGAAAGATCCTGCACACACATAAAATAGCAAACACATCCACTGTGACATGTGTTCTATAGTTTCTCAAGTTTGAAGTGTCAATGTATTTGTGTAGCATTGTAGCAATAGCATGTCTTAAATAAGTAATAGTCCAATAAATATCTTACACTATATAAAATATGTTTGATCAAAAATTATCGACAATCAAACAATCTAAGATCCAAATATTATGGCACATCGTGTGTGAGTACACACATTTTAAATTTAAGGAATACGACCAAGTTCTAAATAATTTGGAGGCATTTTCGAACTGCTTCAAAATTGCCTACAAGCATTCAGGCCACCAAGTTCTAAATAATCTGCATATCCTGTACGTGAGTTTTTATTTCTCAACCTTAGTAAGGATGAATTAAATAACCAGAGTTTCTGCACTGGAAAACAAAGATTAGCTTAAAGGTATCGATCTAAGGCATTCATTTAACTCTAAGTATAATACAGTTCCATTTCTCTATTCCTAAGAATGTTGCCTTTTGTTAATGGTCTTGTAGCCTGGTGGCATGAATGCTTCCTTATAAGTAGAGGAAGCTACAGGTTCAACCCTGCTTGTAATCTTAAACTATTAGTGCCTATCCCTCTAATTTTAAAGAAGAAGAAGAAGAAGAAGAAAAAAAAAGAATGTAAACTTCCTTTATTTTTTCAAAAAAAAAAAAAGGATTTTTACCTTGCCGTTGACAGAGGGGCAGCTGCAACCCAGGAGTTCAAGCAGGCATCAAATGTATAGACCTCATTAGTAGCATCTTCAGACCAGCCACAGCCACCCAACAAGAATAGCTTCTTCCCCAAAACTTCAAAGCCCATTCCTTTCCTTTTTGATAAACGGGGCGGTAGCTCTTGCATTAGCTTCCAGCATCTCCTTGATGAGGTTGGATCCAAAACATAACAGCTAATTTCACCAAACCTATCTCTGCATAAAGCATAGATCCAGGTCTCATCAAGCTTATGCTTTTGACGATAAGAATGCCACCCTTCACTGCAAACTAAGTCCCTCCAAGCCTTTGAAACACACTTCAGGACTGAATGATATTTCCTAGGAACTCTCGCTAGGCAGGAAAGAGAAATATCATCCGGAAGGCCAACAATTATTTGAGAATTATTTACTTCTGGTTCATTTGCCCCGTTTGATGACTCCGTCCCATCATCTAAATGTTCCATTACAACTTTGTGTAAAGAACCTGAAAATTAAAGACAAATAACATTAAAAATGCAAAACAAGTTTAATTACTCCTCTAGCAGATAACCGTAATGCAACCTTCTTTCTTTTTTCCGTACAAGGAGAAATTACCATAAGCTGTCCTCTTGAAAGAATTTCTTCTTAAAAAAAAAAAGAAAAAAAAGAATGACAGAATAATTGAGATCTTGACAGTATACTAAATATAGAACATGACTAAATGCCCTTTCCATTTTCACTTCCAAGAACTCTGCAATCACATATCAGAAAGAGGTCAAAATCCTAACTCTAAACTAAAACCCCTGCAACCACATATCAGATAGAGTTCCAAAGTCTAGACTTTAACTACGTGAACGGATCCAACATTAAGCAGAAGCACCAAAGGGCCTATTCCACCAAATGTATCGAGTAGCTAAGGCAGCATAAAAGTAGATGGCTACAATGGCTACAAGTTTCAGAACCAGAGAAGCAGATGGCACAAACAATACCCAAAAACAAAACAAAAAAAAGCTTTGTGTAGTCAGCAAAAGATCACTTGGAATTAATCTCGATGATTGATGCAAATCCAAATGAAAGACTTCACAAAAATAGGGGCCTTTGAATTAGAAGAAATTCTGTCCCTCCTTAACAATCCCTAAAGGAATCTCAAGTCAGAAGTCCTCTATTCACCAAGAAAAAGGTTGGACAGAACCAACCAAATTCAATGAATCTCATGTGGACACGATAGGGTACGCCCCCAAACAACCTTTCTATGTTTTTAATCCCCTTAAAAAAGATCAAGCCCTAACCTCGCCCGACATACGAAGAAAGTAAAACCCAAAACGAGAGTGAGGAACTAAACTTAAAGAAGCCAAATCAAATAGAACACAAATGGAACTATAGAAGCCCGCTTCGAACCGAACCAGGTCGACATAACTCCCCGTAAAATCATCGATCATATACCTACCTCACATATCTATTGCAGTAAAATTCCAAAATAGAGGTCAATTTTACAATGTTTACAAAGATTTCCAGGTTTCCAACAAATGCAGGACAATTTGAACGTCCTATACCGACGATCAAACGAATCAAACGAAAATAAAAAAGGATTTCTAAGCCGAGTGATACGAAGACGGGGAGAAACCTGCACCGAATCAGGAAATCAACAAAGATGTTTGTTTAGCCACAAGTGCCAAGCAAAAGAGGGGAACTGAAATTTCAGGAATCAACGATTTTGAAGCTCTTGGCTATTTGGCGGTGATTAGCAGTTTGGCAGAGGCAAGCTTGAAAAGTTTTGGAGTCAGATTTTTGTTGGGGAAAAGTACAATGGAGTTCCAAATAAAAAAAAGAATGACTAATAAATGTAAATGTGATTGTCAATAAAACGTTTTTATAATTATATTAAGGGTTAAAGTGCGCCCAGCACTCCAAACTATTTTCCTAGGTGCATCCAGTGTTCTAAAATAATTTTCAGTGCATCCAGTGTCCCAAACTAATTAAAACGGTGCATCCATATCCCGGATTAACAGAAAAGTTAAATTTGACCGTTATTTGCTGACTCAGCAGAAGGTTGACTGACGTGACAGACACGTAGGCATCTAATGTGTATTATTTTGACGGGCCAAAGTGCGCTCAGCACCCTGAACTATTTTTTTAGGTGCGCCCAGCACCCGAACTATTTTTTCAGGTGCGCCCAGTGTCCTAAAGTAATTTTTTGTGTATCTAGTGTCTCAAACTAATTAAAACGGTACGTTCACATCCCAAGCTAACAGAAAAGTCTCGTTTAACCGTTACTTTACTAACTCAGCTGAAGGTTGACCGAAAAATCCTTGATGACGGACACACAGGCGTCTGATGTGTATTATTTTGACTGAAAATTCAATTTATTTCCTCCTCTTCTAACATTTATCTTATGCCAGTTTTAAAACTTAAAAAAAAAAAAAGATCACCGATCCACCTTCTTAAATCTTGGTAGATGTACCACCCATTCAATCCCATCCTTGTCTTTAAGATTTTATCCCATTTCTTTCACCACACACTTCCATCTCCGTCTCTATCAACTCCTTATCCGACTCGTGTTTGTTTTCCTCTTCCTAGAACACAGTGAACTTTCCCCCGGTCATTTCGTTGACATCGTCGCCGCCTTCCAAAAAAACACCCGCTGCTACCGGACTCGTCTTGGAAGCTTTAGTCAAAATAATACACATCAGACATCTGTGTGTCTGCCATGTAGGATTTTTTTGTCAATCTTCAGTTGAGTTGGTAAGATAACGGTCAAACGAAACTTTTCTGTTAGCCTGGGATGTGGACACACCGTTTTAATTAGTTTGGAACATTGGATACATAAAAAAAAATTACTTTAGGACACTAGGCGTACCTAAAAAAATAGTTTAGGGTGTTGGGCGCACCTTGGCCGGTCAAAATAATACACATTAGATGCCTACGTGTCCGTCATGTCAGTCAACCTTCGGCTGAGTCAGCAAATAACGGTCAAATTTAACTTTTCTGTTAGCCCGGGATATAGATGCACCATTTTAATTAGTTTGGGACACTGGATGCACCGAAAATTACTTTAAGACACTGGGTGTGGGAAAATAGTTTGGGATGCTGGGCGCACCTTAACCCTTATATTAATTTCCCGGGAGTTTATAGCAAATCTCCCTTTTTGTTATTGTTCTTTTAAAGAATCTTTGACTTCTTAAATCCTTCTAGTGAGTAATTAATTGTTACTCATATTTCTCTTTATTTTTGCCACTTAAGTAACTTTAATTTTTAGTTTAATTGCTATAATCACCCGTGGAGGCAAAAGGACCCAACGTGGATTCTAAACCTGTGCATGTTTGGTTTATAAATTGGGAATGATGATTTCAGGCGTTGTGCGTGTAAGTTTTATTGTTCAATTAGACACACATACCCTTTGGCCCCAAAAAAAAAAAAAAAGACACGAATATTCCATTTTTTATGGCACAGTTATCCCAAACATACTTATTTTATTCCATTAAATCCCATTTTCGTTCCTTTTCCCTTCTCATACTAAAATTAAACTTGAATACTCCATATTCGTTTCCTTCTTTTTTTAAAAAAAAATATTTTAATAATATGTTCATAAATTTGAAGGAAAAATCATAATTTTTAATTCCTGCAGTTTCTCATCGTAGAGGGCTTTTTTAAAAAGGAAATACCATCTCCATAATCTGGGATATCTAATTAAGATTAAATTCTTTGTCAGACACTTAGCTGAAATTCCCCCAAAAATAAAGAGCGAAATTTAATTTGGATGATGCATCGGTCTGATAACAAATGAAACTGTATGCAAAAAATGTGATTAATTTGCTGTAAATTACTTCAAATTTATATCCCAGTTTTCCTTTTATCTGATATCCAGTATTATTTGTCGAATACGCAAACAAAATATATGATAGACCCAGAATTAAAAATAGTTATCTCTTTTTACCACAACATTACTACTGACATATGTAAGGAGCCTCATGATCATATCAGTTATCCAAAACCAATATATATATATATATAGATCAAATGAAACCCAGCTATGGGAGCATTCGTATATAGGCCTTCAAAAGCATATGCATATGCAAGCACATCTGCTTCGTACTTTTATAGGGTAAGCTAAATAAATCCGAACCCTCGAAAATTGCCTATAATGATCCTTTCTGTTACGCAGGGGAGAGAGAGAGAGAGAAACACGCCCGAGTATATTATTCAACAACCTTACCAGTACATCTTAAGGGAGATTTATACTTCTAATCCCGTTTAGTAACTAATATTGAGTTATCCAACGGAATCAAAACGTGTCCTAACTAAAATATACAATTTGACATGTATCACTTTCAGTCGCACAAGACCATGATACGCGGAGTAAACTTATAAACAAAACATGCATAAAGCATGATTATGGCGAACTTACTGATCATTCATGGAGAGATGGTCAAACTTCTATGTGTGCAAATGTGATGAGGTATTTACAAAATGAGCCACGTTCCTAGTATCAACTTGGCTGATAATATATACAGTACCGCCTAATAAGAAGCTGAAGTTAGAGAAGATGATCACATCAAAGTTTCTTTTCCATCTAGGAGTTAGGCCAACCATTTGGTGAATGCTCCTTTGAGTGGCGGTTTCGCTTTGCGGCAATCTGTGCTTGAATCAAATTTTCAGCTGCCATTGCTTCTTGAATGTCTTTGTGGGCCTTTGCACAGAGTTCATCAAGGGCAAGCATTGGGAATGGCTCCTCTATAAGAACCCCAACCTACCAATAATAGCAAATGTGGAATAGGATCCATTTGTTTTAGTTACTGGTAAAGCAAATTGCAGCACAAAATTATTTCATATTCAAGTAGTTAAAAGATCAAAATAAGGAGAACATACTTCCTCAATGCAGAACAAAGAGGCAGCACTAACAAAGGTGGCAGGAACCACTATCCAATGGCAATCATCCCAAAGTATGATAGGGAGCGTTAAATGCCAAAGGACAAGAAACCTTGAGGTCAAACGGGTATATGACAGTGGGATGGGAATACCCATAAGTTGTTCGCAGACACCAATTCCTTCATGGAAACAAGTGATCTTTGATTCCTGTTTTATAATAAGGGAAGCATTAGATAAACATATATACAATACAGGGCACAAAGCATAAGCCAAAGTCGACAATTTGAACACAATATAGAAATTTACAGAACACAAATAAAACCACGAATGCTAATTCTTCTACGCGTTAAACAACAATGACGCCTTGATCTAGCAGTGAGAAAGGTGACAGATCTATATCTCACTCTAATGATAACGGTCTAGACTTTCAGGTAAGTTCATATTTCGAACACCTGAAATGGAATGCGAATCAAAGCAAGGCGCAACAATATCTCGGCAATGATCACACAAGAATTCAGTCTCTTAATTCATGCCCATTCAAATTGAAGTTGCCATGTCTTTTCTTTTTATTTTCTTTTTATTTTTTTGGGGATATAAAGTCAGTTAACTGATACGAATATGAGAAAAGTATCAGTTTAGCCACCATCAATATTACTAAACTGCTAACAATTACAAGGATCTCACCAAGACATTCCTTATCGAACCCTCCAACTTCAGCAGTTTAAGACTTTGAGAGATAAACTCGATGATACATCGAGGACGATGTTCTGAACTACTAACTAATGCAAGATCGTCTACTTCCAGCACATGTTGGAGGTCTCTCTTAATATCTGAGCCACATAATACATGACACTGCATTGAAATTGTCTCAATTGGTGAGTTGCACTATCAATCTACAACTAATCCTGCACAATTTGAACAAAACTTTATAAGGAGTCCTTTACTTCCTTTTTGCTTTCAGATGAAACTGGAAATATTTTAGAATCATTCTGACCTTGAGCGCCATTGGAAATGCCATGATATACTGCAGCAGTGCCTTCTTGATATGTAAATCACCAGGACACTCGGCCACCGCCATCACCTGCCTAGCAAAATCATGTGTCCCAGAAATCACCTTCGTCCAAGCCTTCTTTCCCTCCATGAACCTCGAATACGACGCCTCAGTTCTAAAAACCAACAGCAGTGCCAATGCCGACGCCGTCAACTGGTACGGCAATGAGGAAGCCCTCAACACGGGGAAAAAATCCGGCAGCCAATGCGTCAAAACCGCAGAATTATAACTCGCAATCAGTACAGCAAACGTAGTAAAAGCAATCACCGGCGGCACCAGCGACAAGATAACACGAGAAGAAAGACTGGACAGAAGGTGACGGAGGTGGCGTAGAGAGCTTCTGTGCTGAACCCATTTCTCGTGGTCGTAAAGGGTTCGATTCTTTTGCATGCCACGCTCCTTCACACGATCAGCCCAATCAGGAACTTTTCGTAGGATTGAGATTAGGGTTTCGGTGTGGGAGGAAGAGGAATCAGGGGAGCGAAAGGAGCAGGCTTTGAACGTGAGAGTTCTGGGTTTGGAGGGAAGAACAGAGTCGAAGTTGATGGTAAATTTTGGGGTAAATTTGGAGGAGAAGCAGGTGTTGGTGGTGGGATTGATATAATAAGGTCGCTTCATTGATGCGAGGAAGAAGCAGAATTAGGGTTCCCAAAATGAGAAGAGAAGATGAGAGCGTGTTCTTTTGAGTGTTTCAGAGAAAGGAGAGTGCGTGTGCGTTAGGCAGCAGTGTGGGAGACAGGAAGTAGCTAGGGGTTCGGTGGAGGCAGTTAATTGTGAAGCATGTTTTTACACGTTTCAGATACGGAAGAGCAGAATGATTTCTTTTCTAATTATTTATTAAAAAAAATAATTTGTTATATGATATAATTCTCATTATTTTATTTTATACAGTTAGCTAAGACTCGCGTCGTCTTCAATTAACTCCTAAATTCTGAACCATTAAACTTTGTTTAAAAACACCCGCAGGTTGCATGGACAATTTTAGGCATTGTATTGACTGGAAATATGAGAGTGCCCAGAATTTTTTTTCCTGAAAAAAAGAGTTCAGACAATTCCAAAAATAAAAATTTATTGTAATTACAAATTATTGAAAATTAGAACATTTAAGTTTTGCATGTCACTCATAGTTATTTGCAGCTAAATACCTTATTTAGCCAGCGAATTAACCATTTTGGCGCCCGCCTGTGGCAGATGTAGATGTTCTGTTCCAATCATAAAACAGAATTTGCCTGATATTGTCAGTCAGTTTTGGTAGGCGTTGATTTTTGGAGGAATGGTTGGTGACTTGATCATGAAACGTGAACCACAGTAAAAAACCACAAGCGCACCTAAAATCCATGCGTGGCCGAAAAAGATAAAGAAACTTTGTGACGAGATCTACGGTATTGAAGTTTTAATGAACCTGATCTAAGAATTACAACATAAAAAACATGTAAACACTCCTGCATCAAACAAGAATAATCACAAATGTAATGTGCATGTCTCTCCTCTTAGCTTGTAATGTGCATGTTTATCTAAATGTCATGTTTAATTCAAGAACATCATAAAAAAACAATACTATAACCCTAGTCAGTTTTTGTCTTAAGCATTAAAACAACATAAACTTTGGCCCTGCTCAAAAGATGATTACATGGTCATTATCATTTACCCTCTTACTGCAACATTAGCAAGTGTTCTAGGCGTTGCATCATTAAATTACAAGGATTCACTAGTTGTGAGGGCTAAAACAAAATCTTGACGCAGAGCATGATGTTCATATATGAAACAAACACCACCCTATGGATGTTTCTTATTGCTGTCTGACTTCGCTAACTTGCTTTCTTGAGATTCTCCCTTTGATCCAAATATATACCCTTTCACAGTATTCTCTGCTGAAAGTACTCCCTTCTTGATCTGCCCGCATGAAATTGCACCATTATAACTCAAATACAGTTATTTTTTAACGATTCTATTGAATCATAAGAACTCAAATAACAGAAGAATATGATTATGAACTGCAAATTAAATTCTCAGAAGGTTCGATGAAGAGCAAGCAAACAGTGAATGAAAAGGGGAGGAAACAAAAGAAATTCCCCCCTTTCGTAGATAAATAAATTTGAAATTGGTAGTCAAAACTTCAGTGTGTATAAGATCATGCAAACAAATAACAAGGCACTAGAAATACTGGCTTAACTATTATAGAACAAGATGGCATTTTGGGAATTGCATAATTTCAACTAGTATAACCTAGATTACTTTCACCTCCTTGATCCTTTCCGTCAGGCTCTATTGCAAGAAGCCCGCAAGTGTATAATCTTAGAAACTCAGATAAATTTATTAAAGTACCCTTCCTATATGTTACTAATATCCCTTTTTCCTTCTGTCCATCTTCTCCAGACTCAACGAATCTATTCATGTCCTTCAAATATGGCAATTTATACCTGGGCAACTGCCTATAACAACAACAACAAAAGGACGGGGAACAACTAAGACAGGAATGTCATTATAATCCAACACATACGAGAAGGGCAGGATAGAGTGGAAACCCTTTCTGGTATAAAAAAGCTGAAAATGTAGCGGAAGCTATAATGCTATCCTGAATTATGTCCTCCAAATCAGATGTTCAGAATTATTGTTAACCTTCTGAAAGACTGCACCAGCCGGAGGCCGTCAGTTTTGACTAGCACGGAATGAAGACCTTTGTGAAGGACTAGAGCAGCCCAACGAATAACCATAACTTCCACTGAAGAAGAGCCAGAAATTGGGAAGGAACGTGTATGAACTGTGAACCATGTATGTAATGTAGGAATTGGGTCGGGCAACTCACGGCATCATAAAAGCTGTCAAAGAATGATGAGTATGGAAATTCAGTTGAAGAAGGAATAGGATAGGCATTTGCATCAACATGAAGTCGTGAATTACCAAATTTGAAGGAAATAGACTGTTTGGGAAAGATGAGGAGATAGAAAAGGGACATTAGACAAAATATAGAAAGAGTGTTCTAGTATTTTAAACAGACGAATTTTCTAAATTTTGATAAGTGGGGGATTGTCGCAATCAAGCAATTAGATCTGCGGGTTGATTGGGGAAAAAAAAAATTAGGCAAGACATTGCAACCTAGGATTGATTGTTCTCCAACCAATGCTATCTATCTACTCATCTCATTGCCCTGCAAATGATAGAACTATTGCTATTGTTTCAATAGCTGCTATCCATTAATTCAACAAAACACTTCCGATAGCATTTTTAAGGCCCTAAAATCAGTCTTTTTAAAAGATATCCATCTTTCCTAAAGCATTCAATCTTATGTTTTGGCCAACGCAGCACCTTTGCATTGCAATTACACTATATAGTGGATTTTAAAAGACCGATCGCTTTTATTTTCTATGAGCAATTTACATAAATATAGTCACTTGACTCACTACTAGTACTCCTGCGTATCGGTTTGCCTGTTTTCCCTCATTCATTGAGAACTAAAACCAACAAAATACACGTCTCCAAGCATTCACACTTAACAAAAGACATTAGATTTCAGGGCTGCAGATAGTGCCATATTTTTTTAGCCATTAACTTCTCCAACGATGTAAGATATCATTATAAATCACAGAAAAGACCTTTCCTATAAAATCAAGGATCAAGATTATGCAAGTTTTTAATTGTAGCCATAAATATGGGCAACGGAATGAGGCCATGGAGTTTATGAAGAAAAAACATGCTACTAGCAAGAAACGGAAAACCCAAAAGAAGCATAAAAATAAGATCATCCAAAGCCTCTCGAACTCCGTTCACTTGCCAACAAATCATATCATATAATCAAGATCAAGCATAAAACACCCAGAAACTTCAGAATCAGACCACTCGACGACTTGAACTCTGTTCACTTGCCACGAAAACACACAAAAAATGCAAAACCGATCACAAATCGAGTACATTTAAAAAATTAACTCTTTTGACGGAAAAATAAATTACTTACGGGGTCAAGAACATTGGGTTCAGGACCATAGTCAGCGGTCAGTAGAAAATAAGAAGCAGTTATGGTTGCAACCATGGTAATCCTTTTCACCAACTTGTCAGTTTTAGAATTCATTATATGTTCCTACTTCGCTACGTTGATTCAAGAGCCCAAGCTCTGTTGCCTGTGATCGAATGAGGATAGGGCTTGAAGGAAAACGTCGAAGGTTTTGGAAGGCACTGGCTTTTGCGGTTATTGGCTTATGTAATTTTGTTTTATATATATATATATATATGATCATGAAAAAAAAACCTTAGAAATAAAAAAACTGCAAATAGGAACTCATTACAATATTTTTTTAAATATCAGTTGATTTTTTTAAAATATTCTTTTTAATTATAACTACTTTTAAATAGAAACTTTTTGATATGTATAATTAATAAAAATATTTTAAAATTTAAATTATAAATTTAAAAGATAAAATAAATTAAAATCACATATTTAAAACCAAATCAACTAAGAATTAAAGGCAGCATATATGACTTATGACCAAAAAAAAAAAAAGGGCAGCATATATGACTTGTTAAAGTTGAATTTCATTTAATTAAATATACTTGTTTGGAAATTTTGTTGTTCATCGGGTACAACTCTTGGTCCCCCGCATGCCGTCCATCGTTTCCTATGTGAGAGAATTTTTAAAAGAAAAATTATTTACATATAGCTAAAAATATATTTCTAACAAATATATAAAAGTTACATATGCTAACAGGGTGTTTCAACCAATTTTTCCCTCTCTTTTTTTTTTGTATAAACTCTTTGCGCTTATTATGAAGGTAATATTGGTTGAAATCAATCTAATATAATATAATGGATGATAATTGGTATCTTTATATTCAAAATATTATCCGAAAGTTACAAGCAATTTTTTCCCCGTATGCAATCAACACGTAGCGATATCAATACATCTAGATATTTTTCCTTTTATTATAAGAAATTCTAAATAAGTTACATTATTTATGAGTTATAGCGAGTTTTTGGGGAGAAAAAAAGTATATTGAATTGAATATCGATTTAAGGCAATACATCATTTGCTACTAATCCCTAAAGCACTTCTGGTGTCCTTAACCCATATTTCGCAAGAAAGAAGAAGAAAATATAGAATAAAATCATGCCTGGCCTTCCAGCTAAACGTACGAGATTGGGAACAGTTTTGGTTTTTCACATCAAGGTTTAGTTTGGAGTGATGCTTAATCGATCAAATCATAGTACAAAACTTAATGATCATCATAGCCAGCCCAACCCAGTAAAAAAGGGATGGGGATACCAACACTTATCCATTGTTTCTTGGAAGAAATGCTCAATGCTCACTGCAATATAAACATTTCAAGGATCCACAGGACATCCAAATGAAATTGACTTCCTGTACAAGCTCTTGTTCTTCACTTATGCCCAGAGGTTTCACTTCTCTTGGCTTCCAAAGCTGTGCCCTCTTTAAGTGCTACTTGAGCTTCAGTCTCCATAACAAGTCCAGAGAGGGCAAGAAATTGAAGGTATGATGCTATGTGCCATACAGGGGATACGACTTGTGCCTGCATTGCATCGTTCAGTGCTTCCTGAGGCATGTCACCAATCAGATAACACAAACTTCGCCGCGCATAGACGGTTGGAGAAACCACTATTCCACCATCAATGAACTGCTTATAAAACAGTGAACTGTTAGTAAATCGATAGTAAGAACTAGCGTATAACAAAGTTTCCTTATCACATCATTTTGGCTGTTATTGCTTTGATATCCTATGGTTCAAAAGTTGACATTATGCCATCCCAGAGATTTGCTCTGGTAGGACAGCCCTACCCTCTATTCATTTTGAACCAAACAAGTTTCTGCAAAAGAGATTAGGGAAGAATTTGAAGACGGAGCACAAATTTGGAGCGTTTAGAGCTCACTTAGGAAGCGGAGTTAAGAAAGTTAGATTTGCATGTCATTTGATAATAGAGTGAAACAAAAAAATAATACTAAGAAATAATTTTTTTAGCATGAGTTAGAAATAGCATTCATATCCCTACAGTAAGAGTCTTTTTTTAAAAAAGGGGGGGATTACAATAAAGTCTCAAAAAAAGAATACAATTACTAAAAAGTCTCAATAACAACTAAGCAGCTTATAATAACAAGTTTTATAACAAGAAATGATAACTTCTCACTTGTTATATTGGGACTTTTTGGTAGTTATTTTCTTTCATTGTGACCTCATAGTGATTCTCCCAAAAAAGAACTTTGAGTTAGTGACTACAAAGAAAATAGAAAAGATTTCCTACCTTGGTAACCTGACATTAGGCAAGAACTCAAGTGTAAAACTTGGTTGGGAAGAGTGGGTTTGAAATTCGGGATTTTGCGATGCAATTTGGATTGATTCAACCAAAAAAAAAGCACAAAATAGTATTGCGCTGCTGCTGACAGGTAAACATCATGGTGATTAGAATGTCAACTTTCGAACCACAGTGACAAAGTAAAAATGACAAATTACAAGCCATGACCCAAATTAGAAGTTAATGAACTATATTCTACCCCAAAAATAAATTCAAATCAAAGAATGAAATGCTTTTCTTTCGATCATGAACACTTGTGTTATCGATGTGTAACACTAGATAGAATTTGATAGCATCATTCAGATATGGAAGTCAGATAACTGCTTGCAACATGTCAGATAACTCATTAGAAACCCAACCCTACCTGTGTGTAGCACTCTAGTGCAACTCTAAAATCCTTCTGCTGGAAAGCAACATCCCCCTTTTTCTTACTGTTAAGTGTTTCCTGCATTTCATCAGTCCAAACCTGGAATGACAACTGCAGTTTAAGAAGAGAGAATGCAGGAGTCAGAATCTCGAAGCCAAGGAGAAAAAAATATGAGACTATAATAGTTTATAGAGAGGGTAACATGTTAATAAACAATCTAATGTTTGGGAAAACATTGAGCCTGTTCAGCAATTCATCAATATAAAACCAAAGGGAACCTCATTTGTCACTCCTTCATCGTCTTTGTAGCCAATATTTTCCAGAACTTCATGTATAGCAGCCAAATCCTTTCTCGAGCATGCTTCACCAAGTGGGGACAACGAAGCAAAAGTAGCATCACCATGTGGGATTCCCATCAAGACATGTGAAGAAACCTAGAGGGAAATAAATTTAAGAAGACAACAATCAAGAGTTAGTTGAATCTCCAAATTAGTAAATCACATCAAATTTTTATTTGGCATGTGGCAAATATAATTTCCAAGTGTTAAGAAATCTATTTTTAAAAAGACTGAGCACAAGCATATCAAATAAATTAATATTCCCATGATACTTAAGACAAATAGCGCATATATTTAAATTTTTTTTTATCGTACTTCTCATACCATAATACTTTATAAATGGCTTTCCAAGTACTTGAAAAATTAAATTCTCCTGTACCAAACATCACCAAAGAATTTTAAAACTAAGACATCCTAGATTCCCTTTTCTGATAAGAAATTCAGCTCACACAGCGCACTAAACCAATATCAGACCAGGCTAAACAAAAGGTAATCACACAGAAGTATCCAATGACAAAAATATCAACCTAGTTAAAAGTTATCAGCTTCATTTTATTCCTGCCATGTATGAAAAGAGAGCCCTAGCCCTGAGCAGTCAAGTTGTCAAATAGTATTATTTTCCAAGTTTAGTGTACTGGTAGTTTGCCACTCGAAAGGGACTCCTTTCTGCTACATGACAAAAATAACAGACCAACCTCTGTATCTTTCTGAAGAGGAGCCAAGGCAGCCACCAATGATCTAGGATTTGGCCTTTCTCTAGGTTCATACTGTAAGCATCGAGATGCCAAGCGTACTAACTCTGTTCCATCATCATCAGAAAATTGTCCTTCCAAACAAGAATCTGTCAGCATTTGAAGATTTCTGTCCCGAATCAAATCAAGGGCCTGCTCCAAAATTTCCCATTAATTAGATACGCAAGTTTAGGGACAAAATTCAAATAAAGGCCCTAATATTTAGAGGCAACTATGCAACCCTTTGCTTTAATTAAAGATTAAAAGCACTTATATTCATCATGAACAATTAACCGATCTTTGAAAAATTTTGCAATCTTCAACTAAATAAAGGCACTAATATTTAGAGGCAACTATGCAACCCTTTGCTTTAATTAAAGATTAAAAGCACTTATATTCATCATCAACAATTAACTGATCTTTAAAAAATTTTGCAATCTTCAACTCCTTTATCCTTTAGTTCTTTGCTTTCATTATTTATAAGGGGCAATGGAAGAGGAATACTTTTGCTCCGTTAAGAATCACTTACTATTTTTGCTCCAATAAGAATCACTTACATGGCTTGGGGGGATATGCTTCCCACTGAGAAGGTCAAGCAGAAGAGTTCCGAAGCTATATATTACACTTTCTGGTGTTACTCTCCCTACATAACGGACGATCTATAATTAAGAAGTCCTGAACCAACTGATCCTTGCAAAATATCAAAGGTAAAAACTTGCAACTTTCAATGCAGCCATTCCCTCTCAAACATCAAGCAGTGCAGAGAATATGTCATAAAAGGACCACACGAAAAAAAAAACAAACAAACAAACAAACTATGATGAATTGATACTTTTCAAATATGATTATGAACATAGCACTTTACTACATTAAGCACAAAGAGGATCTCAATTTCTCAATCATCTTTCGAGCAAATTTGTGCATCATCAAGCTACTTTTGCCGAGGGTAGCCAAGGAGGGAAAATGGAGGGTGAGAGAAAAGAAGCATCATCAAATACAACAGTTTGAGGGCCAACTGGCATACATAGGAGACATAATACTCAAGTGGTAGTTCAGTTTTTTATAAGAACATAATAACTTGCTTCAGTCAAGTCACTGATAATGTAATTAGATCCACAACAATATTATCATTTGAAAGTATCCAGAAGATCAACAAATGCAAATGGGTTGAGTTTATGCAAAGATTCCTGTGAACAAATTTTATATTCTGAATAGATCATCAATTTCTGATAATAAAACCAAAAGCACAAAGAAATGTGTCCAACCAGTTCTCAGATATTCTGGAGGGGTAAAAGCCAAATTTGTGCTATAACTTTTCCCATCCCTACTATTCTTCATAAGGCCAAAAGTTGAAAGCCTGGGATTGCCATCCTGCAAAATTTTTAACACAGTTTATTTGAATCTAATCTTGCAAGGTATTCAAGAAAAAATGATGGAGCAAGAAATCTTACCTCATCAAATAAAACTCTGTATGCATTAAGGTCATGATAGAGGGCTCGCCCTTTCCCTGTGCAATATTCTAGAGCTTGTGCAAGATGGAAAACAACTCTTAATCGCATCGCCCATTTCATAGGTTGTGTTTCCCCTGATTTAGAGACGTGAATATATTATTTCACACCATACTGACTCAAAGCATCGCCTTAAAATATAACCTTCACCATATAAAAGCAATAAAGTAGCTTCCAGGTCACAAACAACATATGTCGTGAAATTTTATAATAATTTACAAATATTTTTGACAGATTTGCCCCACACAAACCATTTCAGTAGGGCTAAAATCTGATACCTACTAAAGCTTTTGTTCCTTCTCTTAGAAGGGGAAAATAACTCTTGCTCACCAATCAAGAGTATAGATGTGATCAATATATGTAATTAGAAAGATTCCTCAATTTTAATCATCACAAAACAGCTAGTTGCAAAACTGTAGTCCCTATATGTTGCACTGCCACCCTTTTTAAAGTTATTTGGATGTGTCCGTATCCAGATATACCCCACAAACAATTAACTGGAACTGTTAGATCTCATTACACTGCCAATAGGAAAAGGAATGAACTCTCGGTGCTAAGGTACTAGTTCCATATACTGCCCCGTCTCGGCCCCAGTATTGACACATCATGCAGCATAGAACAATCATAAACCGTGAATTCACGACATATTAATCAGGTGTTCATTAATAAAAAAATTAAAGATAGAAAGAATGTTTCGGTGAAGCATGAAAGGAGCTCTTACAATGGAAAAGGTGTTTTGCCAGTGTCTCATTCGGCATAAATTCTGCTACAAGCAACCTCTCATCACCTTCGCAACAACAACCAATCAAATTTGCTAATCGCTGGTTGCGGAGCTCACCAACAGATCTTGCTTCCTCCTACAGTCATGAAAAATTTCTGAGTAATTGGAAGCGCCCTTAAGAGGCATAAAGAATTTTGAAAGTCTTGAAGGTTAGGCAAATTGTTACCCTATTACCCATGTCCATACACCTTTGCTTGTGAGTGTGTGTTTAAGGTTATAACTTATAATAGTTTATTCATTACTAATGATTGACTCATCGTAATCCAAACTAATACCATTTGTTGGTGGTGATAGGTCATCAACATCACAATTGAAAAATGATAGTGTAATTGAAATTATCATTTAGAAAAAGAGAACATTTACCAAAAACTGCCGGCCATCAGGCCAAGCATTTCTATTAAAGCGCTTAACAGCAATCCTCATTTGATTCTCCAGCTTCCCTTTGTAAACAACATTTGGCGCCTTCTCTCCATGTTCAGATACAATATTCTCAACAGCAAAGCCAGATGTTGCATTCTTTAGTTGCTCCAATGAAAATTCACGGAATGCAGGCCAGTTATTGGCCTCACTTCTATCCTCCTTTTCTGTAACATATAGAAACATAAAACGGTCGTTATTTCCCTTCATTACCCAGAACAACAAAAGGTCAGAACTGTCACATTTACCCACCAGTATCTGGAGCTTCAAGAACGGAAGCCTTTACTTGAGAATTCGCACAGCATGGCATGAGTCTGGAGCACTGAATCCCCATTAAGATATGCTAATCAAATCAGAAACTATGAAAATTCTGATTTCAAGTTTCAATTATGTGCCTTTTTGAATATCCAAAAGTGGCACATACAGTCTACTCAGATCCACCCGAACTATATCAAATCTGATACAAGACAACCTGATAAAGTGGTTTTAATGATTGGTGAGCTCATCCAACTGTCAGTGTCCTTGCAAATGTCGGAGCCAGAAAAGCCTGTGAATCACTTAAAGAGTTCTTTTTAAAGTGAAGGTAAAAGGGGTAAAAACCCAAAATGTCAAATAATTCCAGCTTAACACACATTATGGGTGCAAAAGCACTGCCTTTGTTCTCTCCTAAACTAAAAATCATCTGCAAACAGTTTTTAGGCAGCAATTACCATCAGGAACTGCTTGTGGTTTTTATCAGATTGCGAAACAGATAAGGGTGAACAATCAAACAAAATGACTGCAGAAGTAAAGCTAGATCATTTAACAAGGGAAAATGATTACTTTTAGAAGTGGTGACCTTAAATTATTACAAGCTTAAGTAACGATAGAGCCAGAACCCATTCAGGTGCTCCTGAATATGATATTCTAAATACTCGTATATTTGTATTTAGAGCTAAACAACGTCAAAGATTAAGATTTAGATGCATTTTTCCCAGAAGAAGAATCGGAAAGACACAGCTAAAGGGTATCCATCTGTGTGTTTTTCCAAGTCAAGAGTCAACTCAGTGACTTCAACCACCACACAAATGTTACTCAGACTTTTCAGACTAAATAGTAAAATGTTAAGCAAAGCACCACTTTTCCAGCTAAACCAAAAAGCAACTTCACCTTTAAACTTCTTCTCCACCAATGGAAAAGGGAAGAAACTGATTGACCTAGAGCTGAGAGAATGTATCCCCTTTGTTTATCTTTAACAAATCACTAGCTTTACGAGGTCCACATTTTCGGCCCAGAGATCTTTTATCAGCAGAGAAATCAAGATTTCCAAAACCCAATAGTTCTTCAATCTCCCCACGATGGATTCCAAGTCCAACGGACGAAATAAAATATTGAGGGGAAAAAAAAAGTAAAATATAGTAATAATAAAGATTTATGATGGTTGGATGGTTGGAAAACTCAAAGCTAGAGAGAAGATCTCAGTGAGAAGCAGAAGAAGAGGAAGATGGTGCTGAGGATGGAGCTAGCCAGAGCTGGGAAACTCTCTAGCCTGTTGACATAATTGCCTGTGGAACTTTTATTTTATTTTCATTTCCATTTTTATAATTCCACCCCCAATTATTTTGAGGGATCAGGACAGCGATCAGGATGGCGAGGAAGATGATGAGTGAGAGCGAGGTGTACGGGTCATCTGAATCTGTAAATATATAAATCTAAAGGAAAGGAGTCCTACTTGGCTAAAAAATAATTGCAAATAGTTCTCTTTCACAAGTCTGAAAAGTGAGCACACGGTTTGGGCGAAGGATGGCTAAAGTAGGTACAGATTATCAAGCAACATCAATATTAATATTTCATATGAAATAATTATTGAAAATTGAGATTTAATTTTTTATAATTTTTATATGTATCAGTTAGTGCTAATAGAAAAGGTTTTGATTGTTTAAGCATAAGATCTTGAATTCAAATTTATATAAATGTTTAAAAAAAAAAAAACCTTATGGGAGAGCTGTTCCCACCCGACAATGCTTAAATCTAATTTAACTAAATAGTCCTAAAAATATTTTAATTGTAATTGTAATTATTAATTTAGAATTAAAAAGAAAAGAGTGGGGAAAGTGACGGAAGTGGGGTTCAGGATATTGCGGGGCCTATGAATGTGCGGGAAATTAGTGTGAGAGTTCGAGTCATTCTTTTGTTTAGGAATCTTTGGATTTGGATTGGATTAGATGTGATTTACAACGCTACTGGTCCAAATTAAATGATTAGGGCATTTTGATGTGCTGGTTCGTGATCCTGTCGATTCACTACTTCGGCTTTCATTTGCCTCCCTTCACCCTAATGTGCTTTGGACTTCCATTATCATAACACTAATATTTTAAATAAACTTAATATTCAATTGATTGATCAGTACTCCTATTCAACTTAAACCCAGCAGTTACATCATAAATAAATTAGTACTGTTTTGAATTTCTAATCCTATATATTGGAGCTAGTTCATACTACTTCCGGTTTTAATTATAAAATCTTGTTTGTAGTCTATAAATGGGGTCTTATAATTATGACAGGAGGTAGTGATATTTAAGACTCGGGGCAATATATATTTTTTATTTCATACTACCTCCAGTTCTTAATATAAAAACTCATTTGACTTTTATTTTGATCATAAATATAAGATTCCTATTCACTTTGGGTCCGTTTGGATTAACGATTGAAAAAGTAACTTGTGAAAAAGTCAGGTTGGGTAAAAGTTAAATTAGATAAGCTGAATTGTGTTTGAATTAGAGTTCAGAAAAATTAATTTGTAAAAATGACATTGGTAAAAAGTTGTTTGGATCATGGTTGAGTAAATGTAAGTTTGGTTGTAAAATAACCAGAATGAATATGAATTTTAATAAATAATGAAGCATGATTAAAAAAATAAATTCATATAATACAATAAAATTAAAATAATTTAATATAAAGAAGTGAGTGAATTAAATTTTAAAATTTTTGAGAAATCATAAAAAATATTTTAAATATAAAATGAAATATGAAAAAAAAACTGAATTGAGACAATATAATAAAAAAGTAAAATTTAATAAGTGAATTAAAATTGAAAACGAGAAATCATAAGAAATATTTTAAATATAAAGTTTTTGTTTCTAATAAAACTAGCATTAAAGTCATTTCATACAATTTGAAAATCTCATTTTAAATCATGTGACCTAAGTACGATAAATTTAATGATTGAAAGCAAAATTTGAGTTATTTAAATGTCCTTTAAGAGATTTTTCTAAGAAAACAGTTGATTAAAAAATTTGGAATGAATGAATGATACCCGTAAATATACAACATCAACTTCGGTTTTCATTTTATATATGATATTGATAAATTTATATTAATATCAATTGATGATTTACATTGATGATGATTGTTAAAATTCTTTTTATCTATTTAAATTATATAAAATCTCTATATCTCCTATTGAATTTTATAATTTCTATTTCACTCTATTGCAAATGTTCCCACACCTAAAGTTCTTCTAAAGCATTTCTCACCTATAGTTCTTCCAACCTCATATTTACCACTAGGTACTTGATTTTAGACTTACTCATTTTAAACGATTGTTGAACTTAATAATCACTGGAACTATTGTTTTCTTATTAAAAATCTGTCCAAAGTATGGACAAGAATTCTAGTAAAAATTATAAGTCCAAAAAGACCAAACAATTCTTAAGGAAACGTTAGTAAAACATAAGAATCTTCTCCAACATGTATTCAAAAAGGCTAATTCTCCAATATGTATTCGAGTTATCTTATTAGGTGAGGAAGTTTTAACTTTAACGGCTTTACAAAAATTAATCTTAAATTTAAAATGATTTAAAATAACTTTGAATTTGAAAAAAGAAGTTACAAATAAAGTCACACTAGACGATCAACAAGATTTATTAAAACAGCTATTTTGTACTAAATACAGATCAATGCTCTATAAAATGCAAATACTCCTTATGATTTGAACAACAACATTAATCTGAAACTTCAAAATTCATATAGCGAAGAACTCATGGGAGAGCTTTGAGGGGGGGGAAACAAAGAGGTGAAATGAGAAAATATGGCCGTATTCAAAGAAAAATAAAGGCTCTGACACATCACATTGGTAATAAGCATGGATAAGCTCTTCAATAATCTAGTTTGCGATGCAATGCACGTTTCATAGCTTAAAAATATAAGCTAGTTTTGGAGTTAAGCCAAACCAAATACCCACAATCTTTCGATCAGGCTTGTAGTGAAAATAAGCTACTTTTAAACCCAATAAAAGCCCTACCAAATAGACACTTTATCTCTCATACGTACTTTTTTTTTTAACATAGTCTTTGTAATAATAGTAATTTTAACCAAATATACTTGATTAATAAGGATGTTTTAAAAAAATAACACTTATTTATTACAAATAACTAACATAACTAGTTTTTTTAATCTACTTAAATTAATCAATTAGTTTTTATATTAAAAATCGGGTGGTAGTATGTAATTTAGCTAAAAGTCAATCGTGATAACATAACAACATGTTCAATGAGAATATTATTAAAACAGGTGGTCTCGAGAATGAAATCTAATTTGCCTATTTTTACGTACGTAAATTCAACATGAGTTTAATCCCAAAAAAGCGAGGAAAAAAAAGGTTATCTGATCTGGTATCCAAATGCTACACATTTTTTTTTTAAGCAATATCTCAATTTCTCATCACAATGATCCGCCTCTGCCAACCAAACATGTGATAAGTAAAATAAAAATTTAACAAATGTTGATGTTAATGTAAAATATAAATCTATAAGGAAATCATACTGTTAATCTCTCCCATCTTCGTAAACAATATGACATTTTCAGTTTTTCTTAAAATCTAATTCCTCTGTTCTTTATTATAAGAGATTTTTTATGCTTATAGCATGTTTTCATATATAAGAGACACTTAAAAATTGTCTCTATTTTTTTGTATTGATTTTCTATTTTACCTCTATTTATTTTTTCTCCAACTCATACTCTCTCTCCCTCCCACTTCTCTTTTAATAATTTAATTGTTCTCTCCCATACTCTCTCTCCTTATTAATGGGGGCATTGTTGGAAAAAATATTATACTTTTTGCACATCAATTGTCCTCAACTAATTTTAACTATTTTTTTGATCAACATAACTTGGTTATTTGTCTCTTATAACAAGGAACGAAGAGAATATATAATACGCAGCTATGTGCCTAATTAAAAATGAAAAGTGAGTATAAGAGATGCAATTAAGGAGATAATTGAGGCCTGCAATGGTTCCCTGCCCATCACTCTCAAAGAAAACACAATCAAAGACGCACACAATTTATATGTAAATTATTGACACAGCCAAAATAAATAAATAAATAAATAAAAATAAAAATCTATTTGGAAACAGCATACCCCACTCGAGGAGCCATCCCATCCCTACCAATAAAGCAAGCATCATTCATATTACCATTCACACATTACTTTTCCACAATATCTTGTTGTCTAGGTGCCAATACTACAGTTCATATCTCCACTCATTTGTTTTAATAATTTCTTCTTCAATTAGACAGTGCCGATATTATCAAGGCCTCTAAATAAATACCCCAATAGGGTCCTTGATAGGATATGAAATGAATTGATATGAATGTGATCCTCCATCATCATCCATAAAATATAGATATTTATGAGTAAATATCAATTTTCGAAATATATTTTTTTGAAAAAAATAATTGTGTATTTTATAAATTATGTGCAATAAGATTTTTTTTTTTTAAATTTATAACTCATGTAATTTTTTTAGGCACGGCTATTTTTCTATTATAAACACTCTCACGGACAAAATATGGGCATATATAAATAACGAGAAGAAATAAATAATATGCAAGTGTGTGGGCTTAGTTTTTGTGGGCATTGCTTTGGGCTTGCAACGTAGACCCAATTCAAATGCGACTCAAATTGAATTCCCTGGATCTTGAGGATTAAAGGCTAGGGTTTAAGCAAAGCTTTCCTTAGCGGGTCGAAAGTGTGAAAGATTCAGTCTTTACAGCTCCGCCCAACGACAGGATCCTTGTTTGACACAGCCGAAATAATGTCAAAGAAGAACAACCTTGCGAAAAGGAAGAAACAGCACGAATTCGATCTCCGAAGTATGTTCACTTGCTTCTGCTTATCTGTGTTTTTGTGTGTGAGTCATTCGCCTTACAGGCATTTAAATTTCGTCATTTGTCTTCGTCTCATGGGAGTTTATGGCTGATGTTTCTGATTTTTCGGTGATTTAGGAGAGAAACTAGAGAAGGAAAAGAAGGAGAAGAAGCTGACGACGAAGAAAAATAAGATGAAGGCATGTTTTCGCTCTCTATTTATGCAATTGCTATGTTTCCTTTGATTTCAAATTGCAAATCTTTTCTAATTGGGTGCTGAGGACTTGAATTGATGTTTGCATCAAGGACAAAGTATAAACCCCAAGCATACGAAGTTGTTTTGCGCTTTCAGTTGTATAGTGTTTGAAGAATTTAAGAGATTATTGTATACTGAGAGATTTCCCCCTTTTCTTTTTTCTATATTTTCTTTGGAAAAATGCATTTAGGTTGATGGCAGCGACAAGGCAAAGAAGAGGGGTGGAAGCGGATTTCAGGTTGGGAAGAGAAAAGTGAAGACCAAACTGACGGCTGTAGCTAAAGCTAAAGCTGCCCAGGCAATGGAGCTTGACAAATGAAGTTTGATTAGTTTATGATATTGCGTTTAGCTTGATAAATATCAAAGTTGTTTTGAGGTTGAATATTTGTTCTATCAAGCTATTTGAGCGATCAATTGTACTATAGCTACTTTCTGCCTCACAGTTTTTGTACGGTCAACTGTGAACATTTGGGTATATTAATTTGAGAGGAATTCATACTATTTCTTTGTTATTTGCTTACTGACTATTTATTCTGTAATACTATCTGCCCTGTATATGGCGAGTGTAGAGAGATTTTGGAAATTGGACATGATTTCAGGGTCCTTAATTACATATCCTAATAGAAACTATTCATAGTACTATGCCTTCACCTTGTTCAGATGTTCTGCTTTCAAATGCTGCCTTCTGATTCTATACTATGAACTTCGACCTGTGAGTGTGAAGTGAAGATAGCATCGTGGAATCACTTTAGCACCTATTCTTTGAACAGGGACCTTCATTCAGTGTCAGATTAGAGTTTGACTCTGAGAATTATAAGGTCAAGAACCTATTCCTTTTTGGCTTAGTATTTTAGATCAGATTGGTGAAATATTTGTTTTGTTTTTGTTGTCAACGTCATGCTGTTTGACCTCCCAATGGAGCGAGGAATGAAAGACTTGGGGACAGAGTTTTCCTCTTGGGAGCCCCAACTCAGTGAGAGGGATCAATTTCTGTGATAAATGAGTCTACAAGGGACATAGGGGATTCCCCTGTAAAGGCCCATATCCTCTGTTCTTACTTACACAATTAAGGAAGCTACTGAAAAGTGGACTGACTATTGAATTGGCGATTCAAGGGATCCATCTATGGTTTAACTATGGCGAACCAGATCAAAATTAAAAGTAATACTCCCTTCGTTCCTTATTATAAGAGACAAATAACCGACGTACGTTGATAAAAAAAACAGTTAAAATTAGTTAAGAACAATTAATGTGCAAAAAGTATAATTTTTTTCCAAAAATGCCCTCATTAATAAGGAGAGAGAACATGAGAGAGAACAATTAAATTATTAAAAGAAAAAGAAGTGAGAGGGAGAGAGAGTGTAAGTTGGAGATAATAAATATGGGTAAGATAGTAAATCAACACAAAAAAGTAGAGACAACTTGTAAGTGTCTCTTATATATAAGAACATGCTATAAGCATCAAATGTCTCTTATAATAAGGAACGGAGGGAGTATTATTTAATTAAATTATATAAAATAAATTATTCATAGATAACTTAGAACGGTAGTACTACTTTCGGTCCTAATTATAAAAATTAGTTGACTAATTTAAGAAAATTAAAAAAATAAGTTAAGTTATTTGTAATGAATAGGTGCTATTTTTCTTAAAATATTCTTACTAATCACGTGTATTGCTATAATTATTGTTATTAAAAGCACTTCTTTAGGAAAAAATGCATAATATGAGAGACAAAATGAATTGAGGTCTTATATTTAAGATCAAAATAAAAGTCAAACAAGGTCTTATATTAAGGAACGAAAGTAGTATTAATTTGTAAGTGATTTAACACAATCTAATAAAAACAATACACATTGCTCTTTCTTTCTTTCTTATTCTTTTGCAACGTCATATAGTACGTCAAAGTATTTTAAGGGATGTATTCAGCACTCTAAAATATTTTGTGGTGTATGTCATGAAGTATTTTTTTTTGGGTGCATTTAACACCTCTAACACCTCAAAGTACTGTTTTTCAAGTGCGCTAGCATTTAAAAATATTTTTTGGCACATCAACCATTAATGCTAAAAAAAATAAATACTTCAAGATATTGGTTACACTGATGTACCACAAAATATTTGAGCATATTGGATGTATTAGAAAATATTTTATGGTAATGAATGTATTTTAACTCTTTTCCTTTGATATGAAATTTAATTCGATTAATCGTTGTAAATTTTTTTACCGGACCGATTAGGGCATTTTTCTCACTGGCTCGCTGATGGTAGGCCAACTTGAGTTGGGCTTTAATACTGTGTAGTTAAAGGATGGGAGGCGTGCAATGGAAACTCTTCTGAGGGGGTGTTTGGAAAACCCAAAACCATGATTTCAGAAGCACTTTTCCACAAAACGAGGTAATCTCCTCTACATATTTACTTCGTAATCCGTAAAAGCACTTCTGAAATCATGATTTGGTTTCTATCCAAACACCCCCTGAGTTCTGGATTGAAAATTTCTTCTCTTTGATGCCCACACATACGCTTTTTTTAAAAAAATATATTTCTCTTAAATTTTCGTGTATATTCAACAGAAATTGGGGAAATCCTTTATTAAAAAACATGTGTTGAAAATTAAAAGTGAAGGCTGGGTTGGAAAAGAAAAAGAAGATGCTGTAGGAGATGGATGACAGGAATAGTGCATTGTCAAGATGGCTTCACTTTCACATGAAAGGTTACACATAAAGGCACCGGTACAACCAGCAATGTCAAACCATCTTTTGAGTTCCCTCAAAATTGAAGGCCTACCGCACCCACACCGCATTTTGGAGGGGCCACAACAAGTGTGCTCATGCGGATTTCAAATTAAAATATTTACTTTTTTTTTGGGTGTTATTGAATTGTTCCAAAAAACATTGAAATTGAAGTGTTTTATTTTTGTCTCAATGAGTCAATTGGAAATAGTCAGCTTGTATTATCCACAAAAAAAAGTAAAAAAGAATAGTCAGCTTCAACTAACGGGAGACTGGGTTTAATAGAAGGTACTAATCCTTCACAATGTAGTGAAAACAATATAAAAAAAAATATTAATTTATGGATATTCAATGTCGTTTATATCTCATAAAAAATAATTAATAAAATATAATAATATATATTATATTTAATTTTTCTTTCGGTGGTATAGAAGTATCCTTTGGAGAGCCGATTGCCGATCTCTCTCAAGGTTATGACTTGTCAATAATCTCAAGTTTTATTATGGAGATCCCATTCAGCCAATTATGTCCAGCTATTCAAATTATCATCTAAATAATTTTTTTTTTAAAAAAAGTCTTCAATATTCTATCCTTCCTTTCTGTTCGGATAACAACACGGAGGAATTCTCCTTCGGAAGTGAAAAAAATAATTTGACTGAAAGCAAAAAATTAGGGTACTTAGCCCTTTTATGTTGTCGTACATTGTGGCGTGCGTATTTTTTTTAAAATTCATGATTTATTCCTCAACTTTTTTTTTGGTAACAATTCCTCAACTAGCTTTTGCTATAAATATTTTTATTTTAAAAAGTAAATTCATTTACACTGATATAATTGAAAATAACTAGTTTAAATATATCAAGCTGAGGATTTCTTTTTTGTTTTGTTGAACCGAATAAATCCTATTATGCAAAAGAACACAGTATAGAAACTTAACGTACTAAATATGTAAATTTGCTCAAAAAGGCAAATTATTTTATCTCAGCTTATCGGCCTGATTTAAAGGGAAAAGCACGTAAAAAAATCCATAAATAAAGGAATTAAAAAAAATCATATCCTAAGGAAGTATAAATAGGGAGGGTAACTTGCGGGGGCGATTTGCTATCAAAGTTTATTATCAGAAAAACATTTATCATTAAAATATGTCAAAAGTCTTGTGAGAGGACAAACATGGTCAAATGCAATATTAAAAAATTAAAGTTGACTTCCAAAGTTATTGGATAATATTCTATAATAAACTCCCAGGTTTCAAGTACCTCCTCCATTTTTGGAATATAATCTCCTGTCCTGTGTGGGCCTAATCATGAAAATTATTGTTTATTATTTTACCATATCTTCCCTTTTAATTTTGTTTTTGTTTTTTTTTTTTGTTTTGCCTTGATTACAAATATTCTGCGAGTTATTTTTCAGTCATTAAGCATGCTTTGATTCTCCTTGAGGTCCAATCCAATTTTTATACCAGAAAATGTTATTTAGCAAAAAGTTATTGATATTATTAATTAAATAAAAAATGATTCACATGAAATGTCTCCCTCCGTGAAAATTCAAACACATGACAATCTGGATCCTATGTGAATTTTCGATAATACTACCTCCACTACTCAATATAAGAACTAATTAATTTATTTGAGTAGATTAAAAAATTAATTAAATGAGTTATTTATAATAATATGTGTTATTTTTTTTAAAATATTCCTGTGGCCATGTGCATTAATTAGAATTACTATTTGATTAAATTTTTAACATATGCAAGTATTACAACAACTGACTTAGAAAAAAATAACATGAGAGAGAAAGTAAATTAAGATATTATATTTATGACTAAATTAAATATTAAACTAATTATATATACTAATAAATACGATTGGTTAGTGGCATGAAAGTATCTCAGGCAGAAAGGAGTCAGTTCTACTTGTGATATCAAACTGTTAATATCTCTGTTATTCTAATTTTTGTTTGAAAAAAGAAGCCAGGATGGATTTGAAGAAGGAAAGAAGACCCCAAGGCAAATTTCAAGCCATTTTGTCTGGAGTTAGCTGAAATATTTTTCAGGTACATTTAGCATCTTAAATATATTAGCTCCGTAGAGTCTTTTTTTGCATATTTAGCACTTCAAAAGTACTTTTTTTGTCTTGAGATTGGATGCACCAAAAAATATTTTTGGATACTGAATGTATATAAAAAATATTTTAAAATACTGAATGTATAAAAAAATATTTGAGGATGTTAAATAGACCACAAAATACTCTAAGGTGCCGGGTGTACTTCAAAAAGTACTTCGAGATACTAAGTATACTTTAATTTTTTTGTTTATAATTTATAATTGTAAATAGTATAAACTACAATAAAATTATAGTACTTATATCGAGCATTAAATTGAATGTTGATGATTTGTAGTTTTCATGTAATTTTATTTCAAAGCAAACATAATAGTCCTATGTCACAATACTTAAATAAAATGGTTTTTTAACTGTGTTTTTTAAATTCCACGACGATAAAAAAGGGGGGGGGGATGTGGTGTGTGGGTGAGTTTGTGGTGTGAAATTGAGAAAAGATATTTTGGGGAAGGGATGGGACCATTGCCATAATATGGAAAGACAGAAAAACAAGATGAGTCAGTCACATGCCTCCAAGTCTGCCCCCTTTCTTTTACCACTTCTCTCTCCTTCCGCCTACCCTCCCCCACCACGCGACTCGCAAGCGCGTGTTTCCTGTGATTTTCCGTATCTCTGAATTAGTCATTACATATTTTTTTCCCATATAAATTTTTAAAGATTAAGATATAAATTTATTCTGAAAATTTTTATTCAAGAGCTCTGACATCTGGATATAATTTTTTTTTTTCAAAAATGTAAAGTTAACATTATTTTTTTTAATGGTAAAAGAACAATTGTTACGATATTAAACTTCTGAAGCGAATTTCCTCCACTTAAAAAACTTTTTTAATACTTTTAAATAAAAACTTTCAGAACATATTATAATTTAATCCAATTTTTATTTTCAATTCTTTTTAATAATATTTTAGATATTTTCTTGGCTTCAATTTTTAATTATTTTTAGTATTGAAAAGATAAAAGATAAATAAATTAGTGAAAGCTTCCCCATTATTCCGTATTCATTCATTGTTAGCAAAGAAAATTAATTATTAGTGGCCACCTAGTTCAAAGATTTTTTTTCTCTCGGCCAAAATTTTTCTTCTTATTCTTCATAAATAAGATGAGAATAAAAATGAATAAAAATATTGCTTCCTGCCACAATTGCTTAAAAAAGGGGATATTAAACCCCCATTACCCTTACATGTTGGGTGGAGTCGATTTTGATTTAAAGTAGAAAGTGTCATATATTTTTTAGTTTTAAATATAAGATTTATTTTCTAATATAAATTATATTAAAAAAAGACTATATTTAGAATAAGAGGAATATATATATATACTAGACACGTATATTTTGCCAACAATATGGAAAGTTTACATATTAATATGGAAAAATATCTGTACCCTTGGTGAAGAATGTCCCCCTGAGATTTAAAAACACAAATTAAATATATTTAATTATAAATATAATTCACCTGGATGTGTCAAATCAAACGACGGTATAAAAGGCCACCTTCTTTTTGGACTGACACAGGCAACCTCTTTTCCGATGCAAATATACAAATATATTATATATCAATTCAATTTAAAAATAGGTCTTAACTGTTTCCTGTATTAGATATAACTATTAAGAGAGTGGGGTTTAAAGAGTATTAAGAGAAATATTTATAAATTTCCCATTCAACAAAATTCTCATACCAAGAATCTCGTGGGTGACGACAAATTTTCACCAACTGGTTCAAAATTTTGTTGGCAAAAATCATAACTATTTTTTTAATTTTGTGAAATCGTCTTTCCAAATATTGTTTTAATGTAATAGGATTTAAGAATTAATTTATTTTTTTACCACAACAACGGATTAATTTATTGATATTGATATTTGGAATATGAATAATGCTTATTAGCTAGTCAATTATATTAATTAGCATTTAAATGAAATTATACATTCAAATTTGGCTCCAATATAGCCAAAGAATAGCTGGCAGATAAATAGCAAAAGAATTAATAATTTTAACATAAAATATTAGCATACTTGCCCACAGTTCTTTTTAAAAAGAATGGTCAAAAGTTGATGGTTAAAAAATTAATTGTGCAATTGGAAAAATATTGAAGGACCTAGGCTTTTAGAAGGGCCTAACTCACTTAATCATGCATAACGTATTTTAATTATGTGTAAATATTTTCTAGTAAATATAAGTTGCACAATAGTCGATAAAATTGCATAAGCCAAATATATATTGCACTTGTGCCTTTAAAAAAGGTTCTAAATATCTTTGTGCAATTACCTTTTTAATTGGCGACTTAAGATGGTTTTTCCTATTTTTATGGATACTCCTTTTACTTTTTTTTTTTTGACCGGCATGGATACTCCTTTTACTTGGCAACTTAATAATCTATTTAATGACATTACTTTAGGGAAAAAGGAAAGAGCATAAATTAGGCAAACGATACCTTTAGAAAATTTCGGAAAATATTTGTCTAACGGCGCGTGGATAGACTAGACTCCGTTGACAATCCCAATGGACTCGAACTTCCCCACCACCTTCCGTATATCAAATATATATAAAATAATTAAATTTAAAATTTAAAAAATAAATAATATAGTAACAAAATAATCAAAATATAAAATATTCAGTCTTATCCGAACTAGAAACACTTTTTTCTGTTCGAGTTTGGTGGCTTCTCCAGCCTATTCCTGAAATCTCAGGACACGATGCCTTCATCATCGTCATCAGTTCTTCGCCCAAGTAGGAGAGAGAGACAAATCGCGTTTTAGAGCGAGAAACTCATATGGCATTCTGGAGAGAGAGAGTAGGAGAGTTCAGCCCTAGAAAATTATGCAATCCCGATAAGGACTTGTGCTGAGACTAGGGCGAGCCGTATCTACCCTTTCTCACTCAGTAGTAATTGCTTCTTTGCACTGTTGCTTCCTTCCTTTAATTCCCAAGCGGCTTTTTCAATTTGGGTTTCTCTCACTAGCTTCGAGGTCTTCACGGGAAGAGTGGATGTTTTCAGAAATGTCAGTGTGACGCTTTTATTTTATTTTTTTTCTTATTTGGTTTTTGATTTTCTCTTTCCACAGCTACAGCTTCATGATGCATTATGATCCTCTTGTAGTTGGGTGGTAAAAAGCTGTTCTAATTGACCCAATTCACCTGGCTTTTCTGTGTGTGTCCAGTTCAATGTCATTTTAAGCTGTTCTGGCTTGCTTTCGCATCTTGAGCTGGGAACTCAGAACTGGGCTGGCATTGACTTCGAGTAATTCTCTTTTCTTTTCTTTTTACTTTTAGGGTTTTCATTTTCTGGGTGTTGGCATCAAAGTTTCAGCTTTATCTCTGTGGCTGTCGGGTTCCTTGGAACTTGCTTGGTGTTTAAGGTTCATGATGGGTTGGTAAGAGTAGACCTTTTCCAGTTCATCTGATCTTTATCTTCAATATGAAGCCGTTTTGTTGTTTCTTATGGTTTGGTAAGCTGTGAAATAGCTTCTGTTTTTGTCTTTTCGTTAATCCATTGCTTTTCGAAGATCGGTGCTTTGTTTTCCTTTCTTGAGCGAATGACTTCTTAGCTTTATATCCTTTTCAACACTTTCTTCTACTTCATGGTTGTCTTCTACTTGTGTGGTTGCCTTTGGGTCGGGGGTCCTTTTCTTTTTCCTTTTATTTACACTGTAGGACTTTCGGATCTTCATATTTCAATAATAGTACGGTGCCAACGTTGAGAAATTTTATTTGCTACAGGCTCCTCCATTTGATTTGAAGTGGCCATGGCGGTTTTTCTCACGTTAGAGTCACATCTTTGATATGTTTATCTTCTGTTTAACAATCTTATTGTTTATTACAAATTGAATTTAGTAGATTTTATGGCATTCTTATTTAAGCTTATTTAATAAAGTTGTTAATACTGATTTAAGGATTCGTTATTTCACATTGTTTTTGTACTAGGTATGAGAACATGGCTTGGTGATAGATTTAGCGTATTGGTTAGTAAGGCGGAAGTTACCTTTAAAAGATTCTAAAGGAGTTTGAAGTAAATGCATGGATCGGGGGGACCAAATGGCGTTATCTGGGTCTGCATCTTACTATATGCAGAGGGGAATGGCTGGTTCTGCCGGACAGACTGAGCTTCATGGTTCCCCATCTATTCACCAACTTTCTAATTCCAATTTATCATTTCAACCCAACATTGGGGGCGGTACTATTGGATCCACGCTACCGTTAGAATCTTCTGCCATTTCACCTCATGGTGTTAATGTAGGCGCTTCATCTGGAGTGCCATCTGGGGAACCTCTCAAACGGAAGAGAGGAAGGCCTAGGAAATATGGTCCAGATGGAACTGTGTCGTTGGCATTGACTCCGCTGTCGTCTAGTCATCCCGGAAGTGGTCATTCCGGAAGTGGAGCTGCGACACAGAGCCATAAGAGGGGTAGAGGGCGCCCACCAGGGACTGGCAAGAAACAACAGTTGGCTTCTCTTGGTAAATCTCTCTTGCAGCTTTTGCTTTTCTTGTGTGTTTGAGATTATTAGAATTTGAGGCTGAACTGTAGCCAATAAATTTTCTTTCTCTTTTCTGTCAAGGTTTATTTATATGTTTTTAATATTGTCTGCATGCTAGCGTGGAAATTAGTCAATACCCTTTCTTTCCCACATTCTCTAGCTAGTTTTTAGTGATGTAGAATCTGGTTGGTGTTTTATTTGATTTATATGAATTAATTTTTCATCAGTATGCCATTATACCTTTCTACTAGTGATGTTGACTTTATCAGGAGCATGGGAAACAAACATTGCCTGATTTATCAATTATTGCTTCATCTGACTAGTCGTTATTCCTGTTGCAAGTGAAAATACGTAGTCGTATTAAGCAGTTTTTGGTTGATTTTTTTTTTTTCATCCAGTGGTGAAGAAAGTGGGGGGGGGGGGGAGAGGCTATTTGCTCTGAATTTCTTTGATGGAATTAAAACTAAATTGACGAAGGGCAAAAGAGTCTCGTACAGTCATCAGTAGATGGACGCAATCCCTATTCTATTGGCCAATAATGGTGGATACTAAGAAAAGGAAAGAATTAATTAAAATCAAACTAATAAAAGCATGGTAGATACCAAACTCGCCCGCAAGCTTGAGTATAGATACCATTCATAAAAAGGTCTTGGTCAATATATCAGTAACTTTAGTTTGGGATGATGTGTTAGATAGCTTAGGAATCTCCACTTCAAACTTTGCCTTGATAGTTTCTGTCAATCTTTATATGCTTTCTATGATAGCGGTGTATTGGATTCTTTCTGATTCTAATAGTTTCCATGCGGTCACTTGTTACTTTCAATCACATATACATCGGAATCCTTGATTACTCCAATAATCCTTCAAGCGACAAGACTTTAGAAATTATAGACAGGACGCTTCGTGTAGGTCTCAGTTCGTTCCTCACGCAGTTGGTGAATATGAATTTTTAGACTCACTATCCTTGGAACAAGGCTTACGTAGCTTTTGGTCAGATTCATGATCAAGCCTTGGGGCCACTTGTGGCTTTATCTCATTCACCTTCTTCTTCCTTGAGTAAAGTGGGGCTGTTTCTCGCTTTCCTTCATAAAAACCAGTTTTGGGTTCATTGTTGTCAATGGAAGGGTGGGTTTCCATCGTTGACGGGGAAGAAAGAAATGAATGAATGTTCTTTTGGTATTTTTGGAAATTTGGAGAACATCAAACTTTTTGTTCGTGAGAAATACTGAGGTAGTTCGAGGGTGGATGAATTTTATGAACCATTTAGCACCAAAATGTTAGGAATTCTAAACGGGCTCCTCGCATCATTAATGGTCCATGCTGATGGATGAGACCATTGATAAGGATGAGAAGAGTGATGAGACTAGACATGCTTTGATATTCGACAGTCTTCACGTATGGACATTTGTGGCCTAGAGAAGATGGTTACCCCCATGGAGCTTGAGACCTGTAATAGGAGTTGATGTCATTTTCAGTGGATGAACATGCTTAGAAGGCAAGCAAACTTTCCCTTTGATGAACATCATGACCCCTGTGGACCACTTAATATAGTTAATCCTGTTGATATTGTGGCCTGTGATGAGACTTAGTGCTGTTTTGAGCGAATTGCAGGGAATATGCGTGTCATTCTCTCTTGCTACTTGGGAGTGTGTAGGCGTGTGACGCGCTGAACGTTACATTTTGGAAATAGGAATTGGCTTGCATGTGCAATTAGTTCTGTCTTGAGGTAAAGGGGGAAGTGGTTGTCATCGGCTTGCCAATCATTGGCTTCTGTAGTAAAGGCCAAACCTTGGCCAAATTGGATGAAGACATGGTCCAGCATGGCCAAACAAACAGCGTCTCTAATCTGTTAAGCAGTAATGGTCAACAATAAGAAGAGGAAAGAAAATAAAGTCAAATAAAGCTAGTAAAAGCATAATACGCGCACACCCAACCCATTACAACCCTCGCCTACAGGGGAGGAAAACTCACGTACCACACTCCCACAAAGGGGTATACCCACCCTGGGGTAGAACTTGCAACCTTCCTCTTTTTTCTTTTTTTTTTCCCTCCCCTTTTGGGTGATGAGCAACCTTCCTCTTTTGAAGGGGGCGCATGATGCCATTGGCACTAGGCCACTGGCTAATAAAAGCACAATAAACACGCATGAGATAAATGGGAAATTCCAGTGATCTCCAACAAGCAGTAAGGATGGCTAAATTATTCTGTTAGACAATAGGAAGGAGAAATTTTCCTTGGACTTAGCAGTCTTAAGATGCATCAATGGCACCAAACCTTTCTGGAATTATGTTATTCATAAGACAATATTTTATTGTCTAAACTGTTTAACATTCTTTGTGAGAGCACACTCAGTTTTCGTGAATATGCAGAAGACTCAAGTTTCATATAAATTATATATTGGAGTCCCATACTTTTAATGTGAGACTCAAGTATCATACCTTGCAATGGGGTCTAACATTCTTTGCGAATGTTACCTGTCCTTGTTTTCACACTAATTCTATGGATGCAGAAAATTAAATTATCTAATTTGATCAAGGACGTCATAATTCATATTATTGTTCTTGTCTAGGGCTATATATGGCAAAAGGAGTGGTAAATATACTAATGGCAAAAGGAGTGGTAAATTCTCTTTCTAGCAGGTGCACTCTAATGTGAAGGCTAGATCCTGTCTAGACTCTAGGGGATTGATTAAATGTACGCTGTTATTTGAATGTGTTTACTTTCCATTTTTGACATGTTGGGTGGTTTTTGCTAGGTGAATTCATGTCTGGTTCAGCTGGAATGGGTTTCACTCCTCATATCATCACCATTGCAGTTGGAGAAGTATGTTATACACTCATATGAATATGTATCGATGTTTCTGCAATCACAGTAACACTTACCAGAAATTCATTTTAAATATGCGTCTGTATATTGGTTCTCTTATTTAAAGCAACCGAATACATCTTTTAGTTTGTCCTGCTAGCTAAGATGTGGCATTTCTTGTTGAGAAAGGAGGCATCAAATAAAATGGGCCTCTGGATGTTTAAGTACAGTGAAAGTTATAAAACTTCTGAAAGATATGTTCATATGTACTAAGCTTTGCAAGAACAAAGCCAAGCATTAGGGATATTGAAATCTGTTATGCTGAAGAGAAAGATAGCTTGGGAAGTTGTATAATTGAATAGAGTGTCTTGCCTGTTTTCTGTTATTTATTCATTCTAAAAGTATTGTTTTATTCTTTCCATGTAAACTTGATTAATTTCCACAGAACCATCCATTGCATATAATAATACTTTCAGAAATGATTTCAATGAGGATTGATTGATTATATTCTACATTTTTGTTAAACTTAAATGTTATTGTTCAAAATTTCTTACAGTTTGCGTGCTTCATTTTAAGGGGCTGTGCTCTATGCCTGTTGTTTGTGTTAAAATTTGAGAATTATCATGTATGAACTTACTTTACTTTCTCTATAGGATATTGTGTCAAAAATAATGGCATTCTCCCAGCAAGGGTCTAGAGCCGTGTGTGTATTGTCAGCCAATGGTGCTGTTTCCAATGCGACCCTCTGTCAGCCTTCAACTTTGGGTGGTTCTGTCACATATGAGGTTCATCATTTTCTTAGCGCTACTTGCATCTACATATTGATACTGTACATAAATATACATAGTTAATATGCATGTTTACTGTGTACATTATCAATGCTAATGCCTTATGGAGGTCCTCGATTTTTTTTAAAAAAAAATTATGTAGAATTTGGAGTGGAAATTCAACTAAAATTGTTTTGTGGTTAATTACAGCCTTTTTATGTGTGGGGCTTGTTTTCCAGGTCGTTCAAGATGCCAGGCTCTCTGAAAATGACTTGGAATATTTGTAACCTTAATTTTGTTGGACAAGTATCATTAGTTATAAATACATCCTTTGTATGTATGAGGAGATTCATTAGTATACGCCCATGTTGCACAAAAATATTTTGGTTCTAGTATTCTACTGAAGAAATTAAGAATTATTTTAATGCCACTGTTCAAAAACTTAACCTGTGAGTGAGGCATTTGCTTTTATTTGGTTAGTAGTTACACGTCACTAATTATGAAGGAAGAAAAGCTTGCTGATCCAAATTTTTAGATATCTAGATTTAGTTAAGAAAACAAATTGTTAAGGATGATTGGCCTTCTAGTCACAGTCAGTGACTCGCTCTTTGTCCAAGTTTTTTTTTTTAATCAAATCTTTTTCAAAGCCCTATCCTAGAATAGTTGTTACGTTCCAGCCTTGATTTCATTTTTCTAGCCATTATGTGACTATCTATTTGTGGACTATGATTTCAATAGGGGCGTTATGAGATATTGTGCCTGTCAGGCTCTTACTTGCTTAATGAAAGTGGTGGCTCGCGCAATCGAACTGGTGGATTGAGTGTCTCTCTTGCTAGTCCTGAGGGTAAAATCATCGGTGGAGGAGTCGGTGGAATGCTTATTGCAGCATGTCCCGTCCAGGTATTTGCGTATTTTCTTCTTCCTGAATATGAAATAGTGAAATCATATCATGATGTTCTTTTTGGGAGCAATATAAAAAACCATGTAAAATCTGAAAGTTGACTTTGACTACAATGCCCCTCCCCCCTTTTACCCGTTAATGGATAGGTAGGTTGAAATGCTGACTCATGACTACAGGTGATAGTTGGGAGCTTTCTATGGGGTGGATCAAAGACCAAGAACAAGAAAAAAGAAGTTGAAGAAGTTCCCGCGGAGTCAGATCATCAGGATCACCAGGCAGTTCATAATCCAGTTGCTATGAATAACATCATGGCCAATCAGAATCTCACCCCACCATCTTCTATCGGTACATGGCCGGCATCTCGAACGATGGACATTCGCAATTCCCATGTTGACATCGATTTAATGCGTGGGTGACAATCTATTAAATATACACTAGTAATGTGTGTATATTTCAGATTCATGGCCACCGGCCTAATTTTCCTGTGTTAGTATTGGTAGGGACAGAACGGGAATTACTGCCATCGGAGTAGAAGTTAGCTGACTTTTGGACCCATGATTAACATTTGGGTTGTAGTTGTACTCAATACTTGAGTAGGAATTTCAATTTCAAGGTGTTGTATCCGTGACTGGTAATGGTTCATTTCCCTTCTGCAAAAAATTGTCAGTGAACCATATAAATTGTGGCCTGAGTATTTAATATTCATCTCCGATCCTTTCCAACTTGAGTTTCAATGAAGGTTGATGGTATTCAGAAGTGTAGTTGATACGCTCTTGTTTTCTCCCCCAGGCCATCTGCTTTTTATTGAGTTTTTTTAATAGATTGAACGAATGATCTATTTGCGGATCATTTCTCTTGTCCTCGTTCCGATATCCTGAACAACCAGCCCCCTCCCTCTTTATTTTCTTAAATGTCCACACGCCGCTATAAATCTGGGGCAGTGATGCGTGTATTACGGTCACAAGCTCAAATCATAATTTATTTTACCAAGTGCTGCGCTAATTTATTTTACCAAGTGCTGCGCAATGTTTTACTCTCAGTATTTTATATTTCACGTATTGTATAAAATTATAGCACGATATTGACTCATGAGCATTACTTTCTACTTTTAACTTATCTTTGCATGCTGATTTTGGGACATCTGATGTCATTATCACTTCTACATGTAAGTCTACCTGTTTCCATTTGTCACTAGGTTAGCCTCATCAAATTTATTTTAAATAATCTAATATTTTTATATCCGTGTGTATTTTTTTTAATAGGCTTTACAATTTTTTTTTTTGAGAGTAAGAGCAACAATATACGAATGTCTCCCCAGAAATTAACCTGCTCAACCTATAATAGCTCATATATATATTTATATATATTTTGCTAAAGCATAGGTGTCTTCCTATTGAAAACAATTCTATTCGAGACACTGTTGGATATTAAATGTGGGTATCTCTCTCAGCAAGGATTCGAACCTTGGTTCGTTACGTTACGAGGAATTAGGCCCTTCACGTTATGAAGAATTAGGCCTTTATTTTAAACTCAACTTGTCAGTATAGTTCATATATATCAAGTTAGAAGTGTCTGCTACACAATAATATATTCGTAAGGTACAGGAACGTCACATACGATCATCATTACATCACTAACATTTAACAGACAGAAATATATGATATACAAATAGCAACACAAATATATATATTGACATATGATGAAACTATTCAATGTCTGACCAAGTGATGTCCATGCCACCCCACTGAGGCTGATCCTCGTTCACACCCAAAGCTTTCCACACGGCTTTGGAGGCATCAACGATGTCGTTGTCACAAGGTGGCTGATAATCGTGTTCTTCATCGCATCCTCTGGTGGAGTCACACTCGTCCACCACCTTCGCCACCACGCTCCGCCCATTCCCGCTTATCTTGATGTTCTTCAGGCACCGGCTCCGGTGGTTGAACCATCCAGTGGAGAGCGCAACAACAGGCGTGTCATCAGAATGATACTGATTGTCACATTCTGAAGGGCCTCCTCCATCTTTACCTTTCTCAAAACTATTGAGAGTGAGAAAGGCTTTTGTGTGAGAAGACATAGGTGGAGAACATTCATAAACTGGATACATTTTGCCTTGTTTACAGCAATCTGAATCATCGTCTGTGTTGCATTGTCCTGGCGGTGCTTTCTTTCCCTTGATTCTCCCACTGGGACGACATTTTCCGGCTTCACAATATAAGAAACTTGTGAGTATGAGAAGGGCCAAAAGCAAAAATGATGCTTTTGAAGCAAAAGTCCGCATTTTTCCTGATGTCTGGTTTCTTGCTCCTGTGTTTTCTAGCGAATTGTGGGGTGCTTGGTGCAAACGTGGAAATGATCGATAGAATTTATCGATGATGTTTAGCAAAGGAGTTTTTTTTTTGTTTTTTTTTCCCAAACTGGTTTGAATGATTTGGATCCTAACAATTGTGGAAAAGGACAGATTTGTGGCCACAGTTTTTATATATAATGTACTCATGCGCGTATAAAACTCATCACTTTCAAAACAAAACTGTGGCCATAAATATGTCATTTTCCAACAATTTGCCTTGCACTTAATCTCACGCCTGCCAACTTTCAAATTTATTTTAAAACCAACCAGCAGCCATAGGAAATTTAAAAAAGAATCTTGTGACCGCCAAAGCTCTTTTTTTGTTTTTGAAAAATTGCTATGACATTCTATGAAAAAAATGTAATTAAAAAAAGTGTTGAATGTCGCAATGCTATACGCAGATATATAGGAAAATCAAGGTTTCTATTGTTCAAGTTGCTATGATATGCAGATTCTTGAGAAACAAACTATTCTCTTTAATTACTTCCGCAAAATTGCCGACCCCAATTAAGCAGTTTATACGGAAATGACGACGATCCTATTCAACATTTGTATAGTTTGAAAGAACTTAAGACCAACTTGAAATTTCAAGCTTTGCTAATTTTCCAGGCAAAGTGGCATTAACATATATATAGTTTAGTTAATGATGATTTAGCAAAAAAAATGACACGTGGCTGGTGATTTGGCAATAAGTCCTGATGCTTTTAGAATGAAAAAAAATGGGATTACAAAAGCTTATCAACAGGAATTCTCTGGAGGGTCTCAGACAAAGTGATTCTGATGAAACAATCAATTCGACCGCTATATAGAGACAAGACTTTCAAGGTTATTTAGCTACAGACTGAGAGTATTATTTCAATCATGTTTATATCAGCAGTGGATCTTAATGTAAAATTTTGGTCTTTCACTGATTCTCCTTTTAAGGTTTACGAAAATAGTACAATTGGACAAAGATGATCTCAGACTCTCTTCTTGTATGGGTTTCAGGCCAAGAAAGAAAAAAGAATGATCCTCACATCAACTGATTAAAACTTGTTGGTTTTCTCAAGAAGCAGCAGAAGCCAAAGTTCCTTCACCTGGAAGAAGAGAAATAGCTTTTTGTTCTTTTCCAATTAAAGTCTTTTTCTTTTTTTTATGTGTGGATTATTTATTTGATGTAGCTGCCACCTAACCGTCCACACCATCATATCCGTTAGCACCATCAGGATCCAGAGATTAGCGTTTATAAGCTAGGGAACTCCATATGTACATTGAAAACTATAAGGAAGGTGTCATAGATTTTTTAAATACACAGGATCCAAATTTAACTTTAAGTAAATCTGAGAATAGAGCAAAAATAATTTACAAGGACAGCAAAATGTGACAAATTATTAGTGGTAGCCGGGGCCAAAAAAAAAAAAATCAAAAGCAAACAAGAAGCTAAAATTTTACCTTAGGCCTTCAATCTTAATTATTTTCTATTTAAATAACCACAGAACAGCATGCATCAAAATCCACACCACAATGATGGATAAGCATTTTGACCGATATCTTCAATCACCTTATGACAAGAACAAAGTTTGGTTCCCAAAATAAGACGGATTTTGCAGCACGGAGAGAACTTTTGAATTTAAAATCAATTTCTATAGATATGTCGTAGACGTGGTTATTTTCTGTCAAAATCAAGCTCCCATAAATGATAAATACTCCTCAATTTATGACCACAAATCTGTTATTTTTCTAACAAATGCTAAACTCACCATCACTTTCAAACTGACTTCAAAATCAACCACTTGCTTGAAAAAGCATATCTTCGCACCCTTATAAATTCCATTATTTCCATCATCTCTGCGCCAAGCACCTCAATATTTCTGCAAAAACACACAAAAAAAAAAGGGAAGAGAATTAAAGAACAAGAAGACATAGATCAAAATGCAGACTTTTGCTTCAAAAGCATCAGTTTTTCTTTTGGCCCTTCTCATACTCACAAGTTGCTTATATTGTGAAGCCGGAAAGTGTCGTCCCAGTGGGAGAATCAAGGGAAAGAAAGCACCTCCAGGACAATGCAACACAGACGATGATTCAGATTGCTGTAAACAAGGCAAAATGTATCCAGTTTATGAATGTTCTCCGCCAGTCTCTTCTCACACAAAGGCCTTTCTCACTCTCAACAGTTTTGAGAAAGGTAAAGATGGAGGAGGCCCTTCAGAATGTGACAATCAGTATCACTCTGATGACACGCCTGTTGTTGCGCTCTCCACTGGATGGTTCAACCACCGGAGCCGGTGCCTGAAAAACATCAAGATAAGCGGGAATGGGCGGAGCGTGGTGGCGAAGGTGGTGGACGAGTGTGACTCCACGAGGGGATGCGATGACGAGCACGATTATCAGCCACCTTGTGACAACAACATCGTTGATGCCTCCAAAGCTGTGTGGAATGCTTTGGGTGTGAACGAGGATCAGCCTCAGTGGGGTGGCATGGACATTACTTGGTCCGACACTGATTAGTTTTATCATATATATTTGTGTTGTTATTTAAATGTGTAGTACATCATGTTTATGTATTTCATATTTTAGTGATATAATGATGGTTTATATGTGATATTCCTGTAAATTATGAATATATTATTATGTATCGAGGGTTCTAATTAGTACTTAATATATATGTACTGTTTGAGTACTGAGTTTGTATTTTCTCAATATGCGTTGAGCAGGTTAATTTCTTGGGGATAAATATATTGTTGTTGTTATTTTCGATAAATTGTAAAGCCTATTGAAAAATACACACCCAGATAAAATTAGATTATTTAAAACATATACTGGTATAAAGGAAAAAAGGTGAGACTTGCATATAGCTACACAGATGTTTTTTAAATCACCGGCTTCATCTGAAATTCACTTCAAGTATCATATTATTTTCCATCGAAATAATGATCTCACAACCACATAATTAAATTAGTAATTAATCAAACTATTGGCAATCAAATTCATCATCAATTTTGTTGAAATGATATTAAAAGTACTCGCGTAAACAAACCTGACAGTTTAAAAGGCAATATATATATGTTTGATGTCTCCCATATTCCTCACAGAAAATTTGGCAATTCTCTCTTGGAAAATAAGATGAAAAATGACCAATAGTAAGTTTGAAATATAAAAAGAGCTCAATGCTTCTTTGGCGCAACATAGCTAAAAATAGAGATGAGACCATGGTTTGGATTTCAATACCCCGAAAGGGACGCGCTTAAAAGAAGGTGCTGTTTCCAACTTTGGTTACTGGGTTTTTCGTTTCTTTGACTCTGAAATAGTGGCTGATCTCGTCCAATTTTCAGAATCTTTCTATGAAATTGTTCGAATATATATATATATATCAACTTGGTAGTCCAGTTGAAAACGAACCCAAGTAGATAGAACGTCACTGTCCAAGATCTTTTCTTATAATGATGCTCCTTTGCCCATCTTTTGACCGAAGAAGCCGGCAACAGTGAAGGCGCTGGGTGAAGATCACTCTCGTGCGAAGAAGACGACAAAGCGGCGTAAGAAGAACAAGAATCTGGGAGGAGAATGAACTGCTAAGGTTAAATGGCATCAACAGTTTATAGAATCTGTGTAGTGCTGGCCCTAAGCGTCATCTTTTATGAGCTTCTGATCTCTATATTTTGAATTAAATAAAATATTCAGTGACTAATGTGAGACCTGTGAGTTATGGAGTCTAAGTTAAGCTATGTGTGGAGTTTTTCTGTTGCCAATATCGGGAGGGACATTCAACAAGGTAGTGATGACTCAACATTTGTTCATGTCTTATTAACAGTATCTTTTAGTACAAATTAAGCATTTCAGTAGTAAGAGAATAATTTTTGGAGTCTTGCAATTATTATATATGAAAGGACATGATTAGCTGCGAAAGGTATAACCTCGTATGGCCATGCAAAATTCAATTTGTAAACTGCACAATCAAAATAATGGGAAAACAAGCACCGCAGTAAACATCTAATTGTATAGCCGCCACATATGAGGAACTGCATTAATATAAATGAACAATCCAGTATATTAAGATTTTCACATTACACAAAGCATTCGGTACATATTTAATATTCACATAGGATGAGGATGTAAAAAAGCCATAGGAAAAGAGGAGTAAAGATCACAAAACACAAAGTATACATAGCATAATACAGTGCACCGATGCATGAAATCCTACAGTAGTGTTATTAGCGTATCAGGCATCAGACCATGCAATATCGTACCAGCCCCACTGACTCCTGGGAATTCCCAAACCTTCCCAGACAGCCTTGGAGGCATCAACAATGTTGTTGTCACATGGAGGTTGGTAATCATGGTCTGCATCACAGCCTCTAGTGGAATCACACTCGTCAACCACCATGGCCACCACGCTCCGACCATTGGCAGTTATGGTGATGTTCTTGAGACACCTACTCTTGTGGTTGAACCAGCCAGTGGAAAGTGCCACAACTGGTTTGTCATCAGAATGATAGTGATTGTCACATTCTGAAGGGCCTCCTCCATCTCCGCCTTTCTCAAAACTGTTCAGTGTGAGATGTGCCTTTGTGTGGGAAGAGACTGGTGGTGAACACTTGTAAACTGGATACAATTTCCCTTCTTTACAGCAGTCTGAATCATTCTCTTTGTTACATTGTCCAGGAGGTGCCTTTTTCCCTTTCACCGCACCACTTTGGCGACATTTCTGAGCTTCAATAATGTACAAACAATTCGTTGCAAGGAGGATAACCAGTAGAAGCAAGGATGGCTTTCTGCAAAACACCTTCATTCTGATTTTGTTAATTTCTTTGTCTCTCTCCTTCGTGAGCTCACGACGTTTTGATTTATGGTATGGGTGACAATTTTAATGTGTTTGTGTGTGTATATATGTAAGTTGATCTATAAAGGTTCCTTTTTTTGGTCAGCCATTGAGTTCTGTTTCGCCGTTACTTAACCATAATGATGATAACTACATCATCTTTGTAGGGCTTTTCCTTTGTTTTGGCCATTAGCATTCAAATCCTAAAAACAATTAAAAAAGGTAATGAAGAATTTTACGTTGCCTGGTTTCCACTGCAAGACAAGATTAGAGCATATAACTCATAATTTGCTTTGCCGGTGATGACCAGATAAACCCAAAGGCAACATGTTTAATTTAACACACTTGTTTGATTTAATCTTCTTTAATTTTGAGATGCTTTGCTGACATGCAATCAATTTAGTTTTATTTTTCTTTCATTTCAATTTCTAAGAGTACGCTACCTTATGTACAATGGGTTCAGTATCATCTAGATTTATCAAAATACAAGACTGTTATGAATAGGAGTTAGATCTAACAAAAGGGGTTGGTCTACTACGTAGGTTCGAATTCCGTTAAAAAAGGTACCCATGTTTATTGTCTAATGGTATCTTGAATAAAATTGTCTCTAATTATGGACATACCGAATTACTCGATGAATTTCAGATACGCCTTGAAATCCTTGAAGGACTGATGAGGTGAACATAAAAAATAGAAAGTATAAAATAAAAAAAAGTGAGAGGGATCGAAGTTGAACCTAAAGTTAAAATCATTACCATTCAGTATATAAACTTCAACCTTTTTTATTTTTATTTTGCCAACATATTTAAACTTCTCTGGATGCTCTTGTAAACACGTCTTGGACCTTGTAATAACTCTTCAGCCCGATTTAGAGATACCCATCCACCAAACAAACAATAAAAAGGGAAAGCTGGTAAACAGTATTGGGCCTTTAAAAAAATATATGGTCTTTCAATTTTATCTTAATTTTTTTTTTGGGCGAAGGAAGTTTATCTCTCAAATCTTGGATAAAATTAAAAAAAAATTAAACACAGGAAAGGTGCAGTAATAGACTTTAATCATTTTATGATCTTACAGTGATAGAGATAGCTTCTTTCATCATAAACAAGATATTCCCTCCGTTCCTTATTATAAGAGACGAATAACCGAATTACCTTAATTAAAAAAACAGTTAAAATTAGTTAAGAACAATCAATGTGTAAAAAGTATAATCTTTTTTCCAAAAATACCCTCATTAATAAGGAGAGAGAGCATAAAAGAGAACAATTAAATTATTAAAAGAAAGAGAAGTGGGAGGGAGGGAGAGTATGAGTTGGAAACAATAAATATGGGTAAAATAGGAAATCAACACAAAAAAGTAAAAACAACTGTTAAGTGTCTCTTATATATAGGAACATGCTATAAGTATCAAATGTCTCTTATAATAAGGAATGGAGGGAGTATCCCGCACGCGACGCCTCAATTGTGTTGCCGGAGACTGCCAGGCGCACAGTCATATGACACGTCACCATGAGAAAATATTTTAAGCCTACCTTATCTAATACACCAACAATTTTTCTGTCGGATGCTCAAATAAAATCAAAGATATATGTCGGTAAGAAAAAAAAAAATCAAAGATATATATGTGCGTGTATAAATCACGCGCACACATATATAAATTACAACTTAATTTATTATGCAGGTCAAAAATTGTTTATTATGACGAAGGGGCTTGGCCATACACGTCTATGTCCGGTGAGGTGACAAATGAGACCTATGACCTGGTCTTTGTGTTGCGACTCTTCCTTTCGACTTTTCCAAACTACACATCCAATTCCAAGCAACATCTCCTGGATGAAGAAGGAAAAAGAAAACAAGAGTACTTAAAAAACATGAGAGAGAGAAAAATAATTTATAATTATGCCTGATGTTTTTTCTTTCTCTCTTTTTTTTTGAATGAACAAAAAGAAAAAAGAAAAAAAAAGCTTCAGTAGATAGGCATCTCATTGGATAGGAGTTTAACATATCCCGGGGGGGGGGGGAAGCAAGTCTCGGTAAAATCTAATCATTACATTACAGTTTTCCACAGCATGTACACATCATCTGTATCAACTTCCATGAACTCATTAAATAAACAGACATCATCCCAGGATTTTTACATGCGCTGCCACCCACACAGAAGCTATAATTACATCATCGTATCTGTTAGAGCAGGCAGGCGGCGGAAGAAATTCGCCGGCTGCGATGGCATCTTGTGTCTGAGTTTGGATGCCTCATGAGATAAAATCCAGCAAACAGAACTATAATCTGAAATGGTGTCACATACAATACTAATGCAGCCACAAGACATATTACCATGAATATGGCTGTGGCGCGAGGATCCCTCCAGCTTAGAAGTGCATGGATCCTCTCTCCTTGTGTAGCTATGTCTCCGACAACGCTCTGAATCCTCCCGGCCACGCTCCTTAACCGATCATACCTGTGACGTACGACGTCTGGGCTTTTTGTGGTCGGAAAAGTGTCGAACTCCTCATCAAGTTCATCTGGCATCACAACATCTGCTTGAGAGATTCTAACGTCCATATGAGGAGGTTTTCTTGGTCTGAACCTCCACTTCCACATTCCAATCACGAACATGTAAAGAAAAATTGTTGGAAGAATGAGTTCTGGGAAACACACGAGCATGAGAAACAGAATGTGTACTAGCACTGTTGTTAGAGGATTCTTCCACCTTGAAACTTCCCCAATCCATCTTCCTACTGAGAGTAATCCATGGAAAACTTGCATCAAACGGCAGAAATTCGCCTTGCTACGTCTCATGCTCCATTTATGAGAATCTGTATCAGACATGTACTCAACCACCTCCTTCCTCAAAGGCGGCTCAGCTCGGCTCAGTCGAGCTGCCACAATGTTCACAGCTTGGTGACGAAGCTTCTCCTGCTCCATAATATTAAGTGGCTTCACATAGTGCATCTTAGGCAAATGGGGTTTGAAATACAGATGCATCATATTCATCATTGATGTACAGGAAAATCTTATTGCCAAGTGAAGATCCCCTGTCTTCCTCACCCCAGAAGGTTGCAGCATAAGTAGAGGGTAAGAGTGTGTGTAAACTCGACCCGTTTCAAGGGTAGAGATCCGGATTCGAACCTTGCCAATTCTTGCGTCTTTATTACCACCATTTGAGGAATGAATCTGAGCATTATCAAATACCCCAATAGTAAGAACTGTTGCTGTATCATGCACTTCCCATGTGTATTGCTCATTGTACCTCGGATTAAGGCTGTCAATAATGGTCCTAGTTCGAACCCATTTTTGTCCATACTTTGCCACGCAGTATGTATCACAAGTCCCCTTCCCTTCCCTTGTTTTTGTGGGTTGAAGTCCATCAATGTTCAGAATCCCAAGTTCTAAGATCCCAATTGACTTCTTCCAGAGCTGCTTTGCCGTAGGACGAAGATCACTACTGTAATAAGTTGATTCATCAAGCACATGATAGCCGCCTTCAAGATAGACATTGAGGTGAAGCCTGCTGAAGAACTTATCTTTTTCTTTCTTTTTTCCGTGCTCCGCACTTTCCACGGCAGATGAAACAGATTTTTCAAGGTGGTACCATTTACTTGGGACAAATCGATCATCTGCACGCCTTACCACTGTATTCAAAGGTATAACAAGATTGCCAATAGTCTCATCCTTGTTAGGACCAACACGATCTTCAACTGAAATGATTAATGGTTCATCAAAGGGTTCTGCAGCAACAAACATTAGCTCCTGCTCCCAACGCGGGTTCAGGGTCCTGGCTTGAACAGATTTCGTCTTCAAAATTTGGTTACCCAACCGTGCCTTTACATATGCATCTGGAAATCGAGCTTTCTCTGGCACAATTAAGTCTTGTGCTTCAATTACCCTTACTCGAACATACCACAGTCTCGGTGAATGATAGACTTTTGATCGAATCTGAGAGTAGGCAGCTGAAGAGCTTCCACCAGGAGATATTGCATCAGAATGCCAAGCATCAGCAAAAGCCTCATCAGCTTGTGTGCCATACCATACTGCAAGCATCAATTCACCATTCTTTCTTTCCCGATTTTTGTTCTCGATCCAATACCATTGTGGAGCCAGTGGACTATCAGGTGGAGCCCTCTTAGGAACGTCATGAAGATCAATCCTTATAGTTCCAACAAGATCATCAAGAACCACATCCTTGTCTTTAATCACAACCTCGAGAAAAGATGATTGCACATTGTCCCCTGCAAAGGCAAACACCTCATTCCATTCAGGGTTTTTGTTCTTCTCGAAGTGCTTGGTGGTTCCTTTGTAGTTTCCAACCTTAACCTCCACATATGGATCAAGGCTGCCAGTGACGTCTTTCGTTGGAAGGTCTCGAGCTTTCACAACTCGCACAAAAAGGTACTGCATCTGTTCAACAAGATCATAGGTGCTGGCAGGCCTATTCCCACGTTTAATTCTCCCATCAACAACTCGTCCTCCTCCAAGAAATGGACTAGTCTCTTTGAGTGCAAAATCAACCGGAGATGACGCGCTTGCAAATGCTTGTACAGCTTTTGCAGCAGGCTGTGCGGATTTCATCTCATTCATAGCGAAGTTTACACTCTGCTGTAAACTTGGTTTGGGTGAAGGATCTTGTTTTGATTGAGGAAGCTTATGAAATGTGCGCTTTGACTCAGTTTTCTTCTGGGGAATGGTGTTCTTGATTGCATCTGTAAATGATACTGGAGTCTGAATTTGATCTTCAGTTGAGTGATCTGTGTTCAAAAGGGGTTCCATAGGAGGAAGAGGGTTTGATGATCGTACAGAAGGATCATTTACGACGTAGACTTTCAAACCAAGCTCTCCTTTTACGCGTCCAATAAAGCCTTTCTTTTCAAGAGGATAGTGCAAATCAACAGCATCAGAATAGGGAACAAATGATGTTCCAGTTAGCCGAACCTTGCCAATAAAGTGTTTGGACCCAGATGTTTTGTTGTAGTGATAGACAGTGGCTTCAAGAGCGAGGCTTGCTAGTTTAGTTGGATCAGTGATGTTGAAGTAAAACTTTTCATTCCAATAAGGACTTACATCTTTTTCTTTAATTGTGGTTCGAAATTTCTGATCATCAAAGAGAAGTTCCACATAAGCACTGCAGGAACCTTGTCCATCTTTAGGCATGAGGTCATGAGCACCCACAACTTCCACACCAAGCTTGAGGTTTGCCATTTAATTTGCCTCCAAAAAATTTTGCTGAGGGAAAGTTGTTTATATCTGAAACAGAAAGAAACAAGAGGAGGCAAGGTTAATGAGTTAAACTGGATATTCCTTAGCCTGGCACTTTGTTCATGCTTTCCTGATCGTATTACTATGTCCATAGAAGCAGTCTAAAAGAAATAAAGCAGTTCTCAGTGAATTTGGAATACATATGCTAGAGTTCTTGAGACATGAAGCATCTATGTTTCAAATTTCAGTTATTTTGGCAGAAAAACTCTTCCTTTTTCGTTTTATTAATGCATGATGTACTTGAGGGTACTACGTAAAGCTGGAGACGCAGCTATCCTTAACAATATTCAATGCATCTCTAGATTTTCCGAGTCTGCATATTACGATATGTGCATAAATAGTCGGAAATTCCCAATATACTGATTATTCAAGCACAGATACAGTGTTTCGACCATCAGGGAAAGGAAAAGGCATCTGAATTTATTTTTAAAAGCTTGTTTTATTTAAGAGACTTGTAACTCCAATCAATCAGGAAAATCAACAATGGAACAGAACTAAACACGATGAATTAAACAGGAAAAAAAAAAAAAGAAGAACTGAATGTAAATTATTTTCAAGAAAAGCTGCATAACAAAAAAGAAGAGGGAATATTCCGCCAAAAAGCAAGTATTCCTTTAAGCTCAAGGAAAAGAGGAGGAGTGCAGAAGTATGAAGTTATCAACCACCGAATCCAGCAACGGTCTTATCACCAAAAAGTAAGACATAAGCAAACGGACATGTATACTTTATATTCCCAAAGTTTTGAGAAATACGTAGCTTGGAACAGGGACAAAAGGCAACCCCTTCTTGTGTTGTGACGGGAATCCAGAGGTGAATCATAAACCTCTGGTTAAAAATAAAATGAATTGAAAGAAAACCAAGGCTTCAAGACGTACTCCTCTTGGATGAAGCGAAATAAACCAACTACAATATTTGTAATCAACATATTTTGGAAGCACAGGAGCTATTTCTGTAACGAACTCTCAGGCCATTTTTTCCCGAGGAGGGAAAAAAACTGAATCCTGAAAACCCATAACTTTAACCCCAAAAGCAGATTCCACTCGAATATACTCACGGAACCATACATCAAACACCTTTAGAACCATAAAAGTTCCCCGAAACAAGAAAAAGTATCTAACCAAAGACTAGCACAAGTCTCGCGATACCCCAGAAAGAAAGACATAGAAAAACAATAAAATAAGCCAAAAAATGGTGAAGGAGAATCAGAAGAGGAACACACCTCAGGTTTGACCTTCTGGACGATCACTTAAAGAGCTTATGGAGAAGGAAAGAGGGGAAAGGCAAAAACAAAAGGATAAGGGGGGACGGAGTAGCTTCAACGAGGAAGCATAATATTGAATGAGACGAATAGAACAGAGAGTTGCAGGAGAAGGAGAGGGACGGTGGATAGAAGTACAGAAGCCAGGAAGGGAATGGAATATGAGAATTTCCGACGGGAGATTGTTGAATTCAAAAACGAGCGAAACGGCAGGGGCGAAGACCAAAAGTCGTTACCTGCAGTTTTATAGCCGCCAAGCGTAAGCGTGGCTGGCGCCAATGAACGAAGTTCTGAAATGTTAACGCCAAGCGTAGAGGTAGAGTGGGGTCGGCCGGCCCCGTCCTCACACACGTGCCAACGGCAACATACGTTGCAACGATGCCTATTTTATACGAAGTTACACTATGACATGCTTCGGTTCCTATAATCCTACTATCATTGATGCGTTTTTTAATTTTTTTTTAAAACATTTTTTTATTTTTATAATATCGATCCTTTTTTCTAAACCAGCAATCAGTCATATGGTTTTTGTTGCTTTGCTTATTATCAATATCTTTATATTATTTTAGAAATACTACCTCCGGTCCTAATTATAAGAGTCAGTTGACTAATTTGAGAAGATTAAGGAAGTAAGTTTAGTTAGTTATTTGTCCTAAATAGGTGTTGTCTTTCCTAAAATATCCTTGCTAATCAAGTGTATTATTAGAACTATCATTGTTAGAAGGACTACTTTGAAAAAAAATGTATAAATATGAGAGATAAGTGGATTGAGGTTTATTTAGGACCAAAATAAAAGTCAAACAGGATCTTATATTAAGGACCGGAGGTAGTACTTGTTTAAAACTTAAATATTCTCGCCTCCATCCCTTAAAATGTTGAAATATGTTACATCTATGTATATTCCCGTACTCATCCTTAAGTTCCAAACATTGCCGTATTCAACGTATCATGCTATATCGTATCGTATTTGTTGGTATTGGTGTTTCTTAGTATCCTATTTTTTATGGGCCTGTTTGAAATGATAAGCTATTTATATGAAAAGTGCTTATAAATGTTTTTAAACATGATTCCACCTGAAGCCTATATGTTACGGTTTTAGCCATCCTCCAATTTATAAATTTGTCATGACGTATTTATGTCTAAACAATATTTTTCTGACTTTTAATATAAAACTTATTTCGTAATATAAATTGTACTATAAAATAGATTTTATATTAAAATCGGATTAGTACCACTCAATTCTACGAAAATTTGTAGGATACTGTTTTAGCCAATCACATGAGGATCCTCTGCTTTCTCAGCGCTGTGTCGAGATAGAAATAGACATGCATTGGAAGTAGAATTTATATATGTGTGTATCAAGAAGACAAGTGATGGCAATTTTCTTTCCTTTTTTCTTTTCTTCTTTTTCTTGGCAAAAAGAAAATAAAATAACCAAAAAACAATCCCTTCTTATGTAAGTTATTTAGGCCTTTTAACTACCGTGGTAGGCGCGAGGATGCATCGTAGTCTCGTGGACTGGCTGATAAAGACATTTATAAATTATTTAATCAAATTTAATTGTTTTGGTTCTTTTCACGATTTTATTTAAATACGGCAACGACTGAGCTGATAAGTATAATATATTAAGTCAACACGCGTGAATTTGTGAAATTTTATTTTTATATATCAATCAATGGGTGGATCAATATTATTAGTCAATATGGGTGCAACTTTTTTATTATATATTTTTAAATAGAAACAAACAGATGATCAAACTTATTACAATTTTTAATTGTATGTTGATCACTTGGGGTTACAAAAACAATATAATATTGGTAAACTGATGTTTTCAAATCCTATCTCTTGCCTTTATATCATAATTCAAAAAAATTATTTTTTTTCCAGGCCAATTAAAAAATTTAGTTAATCGACATGTTTAGTGGCAAAGACTTGAGAAGTCAATGTTATCATCCTTCGTTAAGATATTCGAGCTAATTATTCCAAATTTGTATTTTGTTTTAATATAAAACATCTTCATCAAGTCATTTTAGACTTAAAATTAATCTCTGTCAGGATGGGAGCATTTTCAATAAGTGCACTTCTTAAATTTTAAATTTGTTTTTTTTTTACGGGTTGAAATTACTTACCATCTTAACAACTTGTTGGTATATTCTCACTTATTTTATCATCTTATAATTTAGAATTCAGTGAGCTTGGATAACGCGTATCACACTGACTTTAGTAAACGAAGACTTTGTTGGTCTCTTAAAAAAATATTTGCAACCTCCTCTTGTGATTTGTTCTAAACTTCGACATAATTTCCATGCAAACTCTTGTATACCCTTCTTTTTTATAATTAGACTTTATGGAATTATGGTATTATGTATCAAGAAATCTAGCACTCTCTACTATCCCTAATATAAAAAAAAAATCCAAATAACTTGTCAGTACTAGTAGAGACTTAAAAATTAATTAAATTAGATTTTTTTTTTCAAAACAGCTATATCTTGAAATATTCTCTTTAATTATTTGCGTTGAAACTCTCTCAATGAAAATTAATATATGCATTTAATGGGGATGATTTGGAAGAAAAATTATAAGCTTGGGAGAAGAAATAGATCAATATCTTATATTTAAGATCAAAATAAACCTGCTAAATAACTTTTATATTTAAGATTTTAGGAAATATATTCATGTAAACTTTGTGTGTAGTTTTGCTATGCATTTAAAAAAATATTACATGTTCATAAGCAACGTGAATCTCAATTAAACGATCAACTTTTTTTTTTGAAAAAAAAATAACTAACAAAATTTGCATGTCAATATAACATTCATGAAAGATATGTTTCTCACTGCAAACCATAAAAAAAAAAATTAAATGTTAACTAAACACATTAATTTTCTCGTGCATTACACCACTTAATTCAAAGAATGAATGTATAATGCGATTTTGTGAGAGATTTAATAATATATATTATATTGACTAGTTGGTATTATGAAGGGTTTGCCAGTATTGATTGCCCTCCATCTCCACCTGCTTGACGAGACTCTCCTTTGTGTGGAGCAAGACATGAAGCTTTTGAGGTTGAAAAGGAGGAGGCATTTTGCAGGGAGCTCTATCTGTGGCTGGCTTCTTCACCCTGGAATCTTCTAGAAACTTCCTGGCCTTTCTATTAACCATAGAGGCCAATGACTCAAGAGACAGCTCGACGGCTCCTTCTGGTATGGTGGCCTCAAACCTCAACAGCTTCGCATATTCTCGTAACACATGAAGCATGTAGTCATACACCAGCTCCATCCTCAGGTTCTGTCTTATGAACTTGCTTCCTTCTTTCCCAATTGCTTCTGCCTGATCATTATTCATGTCAACTAATTATGCACGTTATCAAATAACTAAAATAAAGTAATTTTATTGAGTCATTAGTGGTACAATAAACAAAAACATGTGCAATTATTAGGACCTTGTCGATGTTGGAGTTGCCCCATTCAACAGCAAAAGTGATGTGTTGGCACATGTTTTGGATGGAGATGGGCCAATAATGGCGAAGAGGCACCAAACTTCTTGAGAAGAAGTCATAGTAATTGGGCTGTACTAATAAGGCCATTGAGTTACATGCCAGTATGTATTTCTCACTTACTGACCATGACCTCCCTTCCACATATATCTTGTACCTTCCATTTTGTTTAATATTAGTATAGTAATCACTCATTTTGAGAAATTAATTAAAAAAAGTTTGACTAACTTTAATTTACCTGTGGTC